AAGCAAGCGAACTTAATATAAAGGATTTAAAAAGAACCCTATCTCACCCTGACATTAGCGTCGAGTCTCTTGTTTGGTTTCCAGCTGTTCAATTGAGCCCCCCCCCCTTGGTTTCTCCAGCCACGTGTGAAATGCAATCCAGTTTGTGTTAGATTCCTCACCACCTCCGTGGCTGCTCATGGGGAGTTACTTGGAGCATACTTCACCACGCCGGTCGGTGCAGGTTTATAAGTGGGTGGTGGTGGTGGGGGGGGTGGTGGTGGGGGGGTGGTGGGGGTGGTGGTGGTGGTGGGGGTGGTGGTGGGGGTGGTGGTGGTGTTGGTGGGGGGGGGAGAGCATGACCTGTAGAATTCTCACCGCATGCGAAGTGGCCCCCGAATCGAACTCGGAATTTGGGCTTCTTAGCGTCGTGAGCTGATAATCCGCTGCGGCCACCACCACCACTCGTACCCTTATCCCGGTGTTTCTAAAATAATGTTTTGGCACCCGCTGACCACTCAAGCCCCCCCCCATCCCTGGTGTCAAAACGCAATCACTTCTCTCTCTCTCTCTTTCTAAATAACAGTCATACAAAATGATTCATATCATCAGAAAATAAATACAGGGTTTTTTTAACGCCGCTATAATGTGTTGTTGGATGTTAGGGTGTGAGGGTAGTTTAATGAGAGTCGTTTAACTAAGTAAACTTTTACTGGTAGGAACCTCCTGGTTACACCAGCCCACAGGGGATTACTGTGTCCGTCCGTCGTGCATCCAAAAATGGGAGGGGTGGGGCTGGGTGGAGAGGGGAGGGTGAGGAGGGGCTGGGTGGGGAGGGAGGGGCTAGGTGGGGAGGGGAGAGTGGGGAGGGGCTGGGTGGGGAGGGTGGGGCTGGGTGGGGAGGAGAGGGTGGGAAGGGGCTGGGTGGGGAGGGGCTGGTTACCCCAACGTTTAACCTACTCACGCCGGCTTGTGCCCGCCCTCACAGTCGGCCATATTTGCGGAATACACCACGCCGCCGTTGACTCTGGCCATTGACCGAGCAACCCAACGCTCCTACCAGCTCCCTCCGCAGGAATGTGTTTATCTAGCAGTGGCGACGTCGAGCGATGACAAAGACGCCAGCGACGACCCTGATTCCCACGGACAGCCACGAGCTCCCTCTCTCGCCCCTTTTATCCTTCCAGCGGGGCCCAGCCCCGCCCTGGCCACGCCCCCCCCCCCCCCACCGCCTTCTGGAACCATCTAGCTCAGCGGTCCCCAACCTTTTTGGCACCAGGGACCGGTTTCGTGGAAGACAATTTTTTCACGGACCAGTGGCGGAGGGGGGGGATGGGGGTTTATCATTGAGTCATTCCCCCTTTTCAAAGAAGCTCTCCAGCGACGTTTGTTTTGTACTCATGTTGGCTAGGGGTTAGAGCTTGTGGGCTTACCAACACTGCGACTGAGACAAGTGCGCAGTGCGGGAAAGAGGCGCGGATGGAAGTGGTAAATAAAACAATGGGGGCGGCGGGTTCCACGCGCGGACTCACCGCTCTCACCTCCTGCTGCTGTGCGGCCGGGTTCCTAACAGGCCGCGGACCGGTACCACCACGCGGCCCCGGGGGTTGGGGAGCCCTGATCTAGCTGGTTCCTGGGAGCTACAAGATGGATCCCTTCCATGACCCTTTCCCCAGATCTTCCCCCTTGGATGGGTACGCCCGCAATTGCTACCGCTGGTCGCTGGTCGGCGCTGCTGCACTACACTCAAATGACAAATACGTTGCCTTGCTCTCTGTTTCTTTCGGTAAAGTCACGTAGGTATAAAAAAAATCACGACGTTTTTATTTATTCTATTTCATACCTATGTAATAAAACAGGTCGCGAACAAGCGACTGTGTCTCCGTCTCTTTATTCTCCGTTATGGACAGCTCGCGTTCCGCTCCCCTCACTCACTTCGCTGCACGTCGCCGCGCACCGCTGGCCGATGGCGCGCTGGGAGCCATCTCCGCGTTGCCACGTGGCCGATGGCTCGCGGAGACTCCCGACGTGGTCCAGCTTCCAGCTCCGACCAACTGACCCCGAGCCCCTTCCGGCTCCCCTTTATATCCCTTTTCCACGTCACCCAGACTCCGCCCCTCGCCACACCCCTTAAGAACCTTCCAGATAATACCCCTCCCTTAACGCCCCCCGGCTCCGCCCCCAGACCTTGCCCCCGATACTTCGATGCGCCTGATTGGCTTAGGGCTGGGGCGGCGACACCCCACATACGCTCGCATTACATAGGTCTAAAAAAAAGAAATCACGACGTTTTGACTTATTTTTATTTTATTTTCTACCTACGTGACTTTACCGAAAGAACCAACGAGTATGGATTCCTGCAGCCACGAAAGTTTCAAATCTACGTTGCCTTGAACAATGGCAGCGAATCCGCTGCTCGGTCTTGTGCAGGGAAAACTAAAAATCGATATATTTAGATAAGATAGGCGCCGTTTTATTTCTACGTGATCGAACCCAAGACAAAACATTTATTGTGAATATTACTGGACGCTAAAGCCTCACTACGCGTCAAACTGTGTATGTTTGCGGTGTCTCTCAATCTCTCTCGCCGTGGTCGCGCGGATGTTTTTCCCCTCCACATTTAAAATCAACGCCACGCGTTTAAGAGCTGCGGGAACTCCTCTACTTACGAACATTTGACTTATGAACTTTTAGAGATACGAACAAACCTGTCCGTACGTTCAGTTTGCAGCTGTTCACGATGCTATTGCCTGTTACAAGTTGATTCATGAAGAGCAGAAGGCAGCAACTGTGCAGACATCTCTGGGTCAGTTTTTTTTTCAAGAGGGTAGAGAGGAAACATGAGCCCAAAGGGAATTAGCATCTACATCTGCAGAACATGAAGAACCAGTGGTATCAACATATTCAGAACGTGAAGAACCAGTGGCATCTACATCTGCAGAACGTGAAGAACCAGTGGCATCTACATCTGCATAACATGAAGAACCAGTGGCATCTACATCTGCAGAACGTGAAGACACCAGTGGCATCTACATCTGCAGAACGTGAAGAACCAGTGGCATCTACATCTACATAACGTGAAGAACCGGTGGCATCTACACCTGCAGAACATGAAGAGTCAGTGGCATCTACATCTGCAGAACGCGAAGAACCAGTGACATCTACATCTGCAGAACATGAAGAACCAGTGGCACCTACACCTGCAGAACATGAAGAGCCAGTGGCATCTACATCTGCAGAACGCGAAGAACCAGTGGCATCTACATCTGCAGAACGTGAAGAACCAGTGGCATCTACATCTGCAGAACGTGAAGAACCAGTGGCATCTACATCTGCAGAACGTGAATAACCAGTGGCATCTACATCTGCAGAACATGAAGAACCAGTGGATTCTACATCTAAAGAACGTGAAAAACCAGTGGCATCTACATCTGCAAAACGTGAAGAACCAGTGGCATCGACATCTGCAGAACGTGAAGAACCAGTGGCATCTACATTTGCAGAACATGAAGAACCAGTGGCACCTACATCTGCAGAACGTGAAGAACCAGTGGCATCTACATCTGTAGAACGTGAAGACACCAGTGGCATCTACATCTGCAGAACGTGAAGAACCAGTGCCATCTACAGGAGATTATACCACTTTTAAAACCATTCCCCGTGGTTAGTGTACATGCCGGACAACGTGTTTTGAATCGACAGCAGTAAAGTTGGACTTACGAACAGACCATTGAAACCGAACTCGTGTGTGAGTAGAAGAACCCCTGTAAGTGGCTATTTCTATACATTTCCACATGCTGTTAAGCCACCTTGTGGAGCTATAATTTTTCTCTTCTTGGTTCTTTCGGTAAAGTCACGTAGAATGGAAACAATAAAAATAATAAAATAAAACATAATAAAATAATTCTCACGACGTTTCGGCCACAACGCAAGCAGCCGTCATCATGTGAAGACCAGGTCTGTCGGGGAGACAGCGTCTGACGCTTGCGTTGTGGCCGAAACGTCGTGAGAATGATTTTATTATGTTTTATTTTATTATTTTTATTGTTTCCATTCTACGTGACTTTACCGAAAGAACCAAGAAGATGAATCCCTGCAGTCACGAAAGCTTTAAATCGAAATTTGAGTTATAATTTGTGAACGAGAGCTATAAAGCTATGTATAGGCGCAGTGCACCTTACCTGCTAAAAAAAACTAGTCTATGTTATTTAATTATTATTATAGGACATCTGTGAAAAAAGAAATGCATAACTCATCGGATTTCTCCCGCATAAATATAAATATGATTCTGATCATTCAAACTCGTGTGACAGACGATATCGTTCGTGGACATCTGTGATAAAAGAGCTTCATAGCTCATCGGATTTCTCCCGGATAAATAAATAAATGATTCTGATCATTCAAACTCGTGTGACAGACGGCGTCCTTGCGTGTGACAGGCGGCAAAGAGCTTCATCGCTCATCGGATTTCTCCCGCATAAATATAAATATGATTCTGATCATTCAAACTCGTGTGACAGACGATATCGCTCCTGGACATCTGTGATAAAAGAGCTTCATAGCTCATCGGATTTCTCCCGGATAAATAAATAAATGATTCTGATCATTCAAACTCGTGTGACAGACGGCGTCCTTGCGTGTGACAGGCGGCAAAGAGCTTCATCGCTCATCGGATTTCTCCCGCATAAATATAAATATGATTCTGATCATTCAAACTCGTGTGACAGACGATATCGCTCCTGGACATCTGTGATAAAAGAGCTTCATCGCTCATCGGATTTCTCCCGCATAAATATAAATATGATTCTGATCATTCAAACTCGTGTGACAGACGGCGTCCTCGCGTGTGACGGGCGGCAAAGAGCTTCATGGCTCGTCGGATTCCTCCTCCGGGTCTAAAGCGAGACTCCGTGATTCTAAATCCTGAAGATTCCGATCGTGAACACCGCCAAGAGATTCTGTGAAGAACCTCACCCAATATGGCCTCCGGGTGTTGCCGTCTGCTTCAACCGTGCGGCCGCTGATGATGCAGAAGATGATGATGATGGTGATGCCGCCGCTGCTGCTGCTGCTAATGATGATGCCGAAGATGATGGTGATGATGACGACGCCGCGTTAATTGAGTGCCAGTCGTTGAGGCGGTGCGCTGGGGCAGGAGGCGTCGGAGTGCCGTGAACTGTGCTGCTGCAGCTGCTGCTGCTGCAATCAGCTGTTGTGCCGTAAGAGACTTTGTGTGTGTGTGTGACAGATAGAGGGAGAGATGAGGCAGAGGGATGGGAAATGGGGTGAGGTGATAAGAGAGATATTGGGGGGGAGGGGGATTGAGAGAGAGGTGGGGAGTCAGGGAGATGGAGAGAGATGATGATGATGATGAGATGGAGAGATGATGATGAGATGGAGAGATGGGGCAGAGGAATGGGAGATGGGGGGAGGTGATGAGAGAGATTTTGGGTGGGGGGGAGAGCGATTGAGAGAGACTTGGGGAGTCAGGGAGACTGAGAGAGAGATGATGATGATGAGATGAAGATATGGGGCAGAGAGATGACACCTGCTGTATATTTGGAGTTTGCGTGTCTCTCTCTCATCATCATCACGGTGACTAATTGATGTTAAATTCATCGCCTGCTATACAGGAGGTCGTGGGTTCGTTTCCGACCCTGACACCTGCTGTATAGTTGTAATTTGCATGTATCTCTCATCATCATCATCACGTTGACTAGTTGATGTTAAATTCATCGCCTGGTATACAGGAGGTCGTGGGTTCCATCCCGACACCGACGCCTGCTATATATTTGGAGTTTGCGTGTCTCTCTCTCTCTCTCCACGTGGTGGCGTGGATTTTTCTCCGGGTCCTCCGGTTTTCCCCTCCACGTTTAGAATCAACATCACGCGTTTTAGAGAGTATTTGGCTACTGCTGTAAATGTCCACATAATTTGTGGCCAAGTTGCTTGTGAAAAAGAGCTGTATAGCTCAGTGGGCCTTATCTGGTAAAATTAAAAAAAACATATCTTCTTGGTCCTTTTGGTAAAGTCACGTAGAAGGGAAATAATAAAATAATAAAAATTAAACATAATAAAATACAATTCTGACGACGTTTCGTCGTGATAATTATTATTTTTCCTTCTACGTGACTTTACCGAAAGAACCAAGAAGATGAATCCCTGCAGTCACGAAAGCTTTAAATAAAAAAAAACATAGTTTAGTTTTGAGGCGGTGGGCGCGGACTGCGGAACCCGGCGATCCGAGTTCGATTCCCGCTCTCGGGGCCTCCCCTAGGTCGGCTCGGCCTCAAATGAGTCCCCGTTGCCGTGTGTAAACATCACTCGGGAGAAAAAGGCGTGGTGTTGGCCACCCATCCCACCTCATGCGCCGTGCCGGCCTTCATAGGTGCTGCTCGCTAACAGGGCTTGAACTTGGCTTTGTCGGGTGGTGGTGGGTTGACAACAATCTTTGTATTTTGGGCGATCTAACGCGCAAAAATGTTTTTTTTTGACACGCTTTTATTTAACTCACTCTGTCTGTTGTTGTCGTATTCTCAAATCTTGTAACTCAACTTTGACCCACTTCCCAATGTGGTATCGACTGCACACTTGGTAAACTTATGTCATACTGATGACAATACTATATTCTATCAATAAAACAAATATTTTTAAACATAATTTTTTATATGTTATGTTTCGGCTTGGGTCTAATTGTCCACGCTCAACTGATGTTGGCTGCAATTGGCTACGGCACCCTTACGTTATGACAAGCTTTGGGGCCATTTCCTGGAGTCGTGGAGTTCTGCCATTACTCGTATGGTACATTTCATTAAAGCGTGTTTAAAAAAAAGTATTTTGCCGGATTGCGTTACCGACGCAGCCGCACGGTAACCACCTCCACCCGCGTGAGAAAACCTTTCTGTATCTCCCGCTAGGATGGCGTGCCTGCTTGGCCCCGTCACCCCTTCCCTCGCGCTCCTTGCACCACCTCTCCCGGAGCCGAGCGGGGACTTCCCGGCGTGGCTGGAGGCGCAGGGCGTGAACGAGGAGGTGGCCCGGGCCATGGACTCGGAGCTGGGCATCCGGGACTACGGGGTCCTGCGCGCCTGCGTCGGGGACGGCCTCGTGCGGGCCGAGCTCCTGTCCGCGGCGCGCGACCGCCTGCCCTTCGGCTTCTACGCCGTGCTGCGGCGGTTCGTGGCGGCGCTGCTGCTCCCGGACGATCCCCGCGCGTCGTCCGCCGGTGCCGCCGCCGCCGGTGCCGCCGCGGTGAAGGACGCGACCCTGGTGAGCCTGGTGGAGGCGCTGCTGGCGCTGCTCGCGGGGCTGAGCCGCGAGTTCTCGGCGTGCGTGGGCCGGCTCGACGCGATGGACATCGGAGCCCTCGCTGGGGCCTCGAGCGCCGGGGGTGGAGAGGGCGCCCGCGGCCTCGCGGCAGCCGGGGAGGACGCGGAGGGCGGCGGCGAGCGTCCAGGTGAACGACGAGGCCGCAGCGAGCGTCGCTTCGGGGGGAAATTGATCGATCGTTAATCATCAGAATCTTTTATTTATTGCTGCAGGAATTTGATGAGCCGTAAAGCTCTTTTTCACTAGACGTTTGGGTAGGGGGCACGTGGTCAGAACTTTACAACAACAAACAATACAAAAACATGATAAGTGCAAAGTATAGGAAAGGTGAACAAATAACTTAAAAACATGTACAAATAAAACAACGATTATTTTTTATCGTACCGGGTAAAGCTCTCTGAGCGATTAGCTTAATATTCAGAAGCGTCATGGCCACAAATGATAGCTCAACGAAGTGGCTTATCACGTAGACGTTTATTGCACGTTGATTGTAAATGTGGAGGGAAAAGAACGGAGGACCCGGAGATAAATCCACGGGACCACGGGGAGAGAGACACGCAAACTCCAAATATACAGACGTCAGGGTTGGGGATCGAACCCACGACCTCCTGTACACCAGGCGAGGGAGTTAACATCTCAGCACCACGGCGCCCTAATGGGTTCACGGCACCCGTCCAACGCGTTGCCAGAGGCTACTATCATTCACCACATTGTCAAACAAAACCGATTTGACTCGTGAATTGAATTGCAACCATGAATCACGGCAATTTGTCACACCATCGGGTGGGAGCGGTGCGAGGTGGGGGTGTGTGGATGTTGGGTTGGGGGGGGGAGGGATGATGAGGGTGAGTAATTCTTCCGCTAATAGTGTCTCTGGCGATTACGAATATTTCTTGACTGAGCCGCGGTTGTTTTTCCCAGATCAGTGTGGAGAGGCCCATTCTGTGGCGTGGAATGAACTGAAAAGAGAGACATGTTGCATGAGCCAAGGTAAGGCGATTTCAAGCTCATGGAATGGGTGGTGCCGTTGGGTGCAGTGGATAGTTGGCACGCACCGTCCTGCGAAATCTTTGGGGCCGTCCATAAATGACGTCACGCACCTGGGGGGGGGGGTGGTCAGATATTTGTGACGATGTGTGACGAAGTGGGCGGGAGGGTGGTTTGAGAAATGTGACGTCACGTCAAAATGCGCAACTTTAAATAAATATAGACAACACGTTCTACTTAATTAAATAGACTTTTTAATAAATGTTTTCTCCTACAACATCAGAGTGCAGTGGCGCATTAAATATGCACTACAATGACAATAGTTTAAAGCGATTTGAAGCATATTCTTGGTTCTTTCGGTAAAGTCACGTAGAAGGGAAATAATAAAATAATAAAAATAAAACAATTAAATTCTCACGACAGCTGTGGTTTTCACACCTGATGACGATTGCTTTTATTATTTTATTATTTCCCTTTTAATTGGGGGGGGGGGGGTCAGAGCTTTGTGACGTAATATTTGAGGGGGGTTTGACTTTTTGTGATGCCGCGTGACGAAGGGGGGGGGGGGTCAAAAATCGTCAAAAATCGCGTGACATCATTTATGGACGGCCCCTTTGTCAACCTGCACACGAGTTGATTAGCAAACAAAACGCAAACACCTTCGTCAATAACACTGCGTGGCCTTAAAATAAAAAATACATAAATTGGCGACGTTTCAGGCAACGGGCCTACGTAGAGGTGCCAGAGAGATAGACTGCATACAGATTAGACACTGCACTTAGCATCATGGGGCCTGATGATAATTGCCTCCGCACTGCAAGTAATTCTGCAGTCACGTGATTAATTTGTCGCTTGCCTCTTCCTCTTGGCCAGGTGAAACGAGCGAGGTCTCGGTCCCGATGTGGCCAGAGTTCAAAACGGAGCCGGTGGATCTCGCTCAGGGTGAGGCGTTTTGCGAGCCCTGGACCGGCTGTTCCACACACCCTTGTTGGTTTTCCTGCCACACTTGAATCATCATCACCATCATCTGCATCACGATCCATGTGGCAGATAGCCCGTTGGCGTCCACTGCACGTTTGCTCATTTGTTTCCACTTTCCTCTGTCTTGCAGTGCCAGTACGCTCAAGTAGTGGCCACATCTCTCTGGCACGAATCTCTTATGATGTTGTCGTCATGGGACCTCTTTTGCCAGTACCAAAATATACTAATAGGGGTTTTCCCCTTTTTTCTGGCAACAAAACTGACACCTTTTGCAAGGAATCATGTTTACATTAACCACAATACTTGCAGTATTGTTTTTTGTTTGTTTGCATTTGACTGCAAGTATTGTGGTTAATGTAAACATGATTTCTTGCAAAAGGTGTCAGTTTTGTTGCCAGAAAAAAGGGGAAAACCCCTATTAGTATATTTTGGTACTGGCAAAAGAGGTCCCATGATGTAGCTGCTCACCCCGAGCCCTCATTACTCTGGTAGTGCGTTGTCTTGAACTGTGCGCCTTTTGGCGTCATCTGGTCGAACATCATATGAGACTAGGCTCTAAAGAAAGCTGTCTCTGGTGTGGACCAATCCGTTTCAAAGACAATGCATAAATTACCAGAGTATTGTTTTTTGTTTGCATTTGACTTCAAGTATTGTGGTTAATGTAAACATGATTCCTTGCAAAAGGTGTCAGTTTTGTTGCCAGAAAAAAGGGGAAAAACCCCCTATTAGTATCTTATGATGTTGTCGTCAAGCAATTGTCTGTCTGGTTCTTTCCCATTTTTCCCAAGCGACACACTTTTCATCTTCCTGTTGTCCATCCCACATATGTGTCCAAATAGTTCACAGTTTCCTTCTCATCACTGCCCGCATCCTCAATTCTTCTGCTATGTGCAACCCTTTTCTCACCGCTAAGTTGATCACACTTACGGCTCTTGGCAATATCATGTCGGCCCGCGCCGTATCGTAATGCGCAGCGTTATCCGTTGAATGATGTCATTTTGGTGACAATGGAGGGATTGTGATACGCTACCACACAACGTGACTTTCGTGATCAACGATTCAAGAGCTCTGACTCATCATACGGAGCACTTGTGATTAGGGCTGTTTATCCGTTACCGATTTCTAGACAATAATTTTCGGAATCGACAATTACTTCTCGAAATTTCGATTTAAAGCTTTCGTGACTGCAGGGATTCATCTTCTTGGTTCTTTCGGTAAAGTCACGTAGAAGGGAAGTAATAAAATAATAAAAATAAAACATAATAAAATAATTCTCACGACGTTTCGGCCACAACGCAAGCATCCGTTGTGGCCGAAACGCAAGCAGCCGTTGTGGCCGAAACGTCGTGAGAATTATTTTATTATGTTTTATTTTTATTATTTTATTACTTCTCGAAAGTTATGCCTTTCGAGAGTTGAACGCTGGTATATTTTTGCAACGAATTTGGGTTTAACACGTAGGCTTGTAAATGTTGTGGTTTTATGCTTCAACACACCGGTGGGCTAAAGCAGTGAACTATTTGTCTTTGTCAACGTGACACTTTTTTGCTGATTGGCCGTGTCGGGTGGTGGAGGGTTACGACACATTTATAAATAACGCGATCTAAACCCAAAAACGTTGATTATGAACAACGAATTTGAACCGATTGGAAGGCGCGCGGGCGTCCAAGCTGTACGGCGCGTCGCGACCGTAGCTTTAACAGACTGTCGGGGCAAGTGGTGTTAGCGAGTAGCATCGATGAAGGCCCAGCATGGCATGCAAAAGGGGGGGTGGGTGACCAGCACGACGCCCGACCGTCTTTGCCTCCCAAAGTGGCGATGGTTACTGCATACCGCACCAGGTCCTCAAAGGCACACGCAGGGCTCGACTTACATTTTGATGTAATAACCAATTAGAAAAAAAAAATTACGTAAAAAAATTCACTGGACGCGATCATCGATAACCCAAAAATATACAATATTAACAACGCCACGTGAGTTGCAGTCGCGTTTAGATCTTTCGTGCAATTTCGGATCGAGTTGCGATCGCTCTGCACTCGTGCCGTCAGATTGTGGGAGCCCGACGACGACTCGGCATCCGATCTCTTCTAGGGACGACAAGCGCGGTGAGCAGTCACTGCCCGACGATCGCATTCGTCCGATCGGCCTGCCGGCAGACCGCGGGCGGCGAGTGCGCCGCACTCACGGCGGACGCGGTCGCACCCTCGCAGCCGCAGCAGCAGTTGGAGGACGAAGGGGCGGAGTGGGAGGAAGAAGCGGGGGAGGAGGAGATTCGTGACGATGACGCTGCCGCCACCGCCACGTTCGACACGCACATCGCTCTGGAGCAGCGGAACGACCCGGCAGACTATTCCACCGCCGCCGACACCTTCGCCGCCAGCATCCCGGACGTCGGCAGGAACCACCGCCCAGAGCGTTCGCGGCCGCACAAGTGCTCGTTCTGCGAGCGGCGCTTCGAGAAGCCGGCGTACCTCAAGCGTCACGAGCGCACGCACACGGGCGAGAAGCCGTACGGCTGCGACGCGTGCGGACGCTCGTTCTCGCAGCGCTCGAAGTTGAAGACGCACGCGCGCACGCACACGGGCGAGAAGCTGTACCGCTGCGACGTGTGCGGGCGCGCCTTCGCTCAGCGCTCGGGCCTCGAGTACCACCGGCGCGTGCACACTGGCGAACGGCCCTACGGTTGCGAGGTGTGCGGCCGAGCCTTCGCGCAGTACGGCAACCTCAAGGTGCACCGGCGCACTCACACGGGGGAGCGTCCGCACCGCTGCGATGTGTGCGGCCGCTCGTTCACTCTCTTCTCGGGCCTCAAGTACCACATGCGCACGCACACGGGCGAGAAGCCCTACCGCTGCGAGGTGTGCGGCCGAGCCTTCTCGCAGTGCTCCAACATGAAGACGCACCAGCGCACGCACCTGGCCGACGCGGCCGTCGCCGGCAGCAACGCCTCACCATGATCGCTCATCGTCGTTGTTGTTTTTTTGTTTAAGCAAGGTGAAAGTTAACGGTGCAATTGCTGTAATTGCTCACTCACGACACTGCTGGCTGGCGGAAGGTCATCTTGCACTGGAGGGAGCTCAAGGGAGCCGCTTTACAAGGCGTTTTGGTCCGACTCTTCCATGCTGGCCCGGACGGCCCAATAAAGGATTCTTATACTTTTGGTTTTTTCGGTAAAGTCACGTAGGTAAAGAAATTTTAATAAAATCAAAAATCATTGAATAAAATAATGGATAAAAAAAACTTTAACTTTAGTAAAAAAATTCTAGCTGTGATTTTCACACCTGATGATGATTGCTTGTCGATTTAAAGCTTTCGTGACTGCAGGGATTCATATTCTTGGTTCTTTCGGTAAAGTCACGTAGAAGAGAAATAATAAAAATAAAACGTAATAAAATACAATTCTCACGACGTTTCGGCCACAACGCAAGCAGCCGTCCTCAGGTGAAGAACAGGTCTGTCCTTCAGACGCTGTCTTTCCGACAGCCCTGTTCTTCAGCCGTGGAATCGAACTGTCTTGAACCTTTCTTCCGATTCCGTTTCTGATGACGTATTTTCTCCTGAAGCACGCGCGTATGTGCACGTCATCGGAACGGATCCGAAAGAAAAACTGAAATAAAATAACTTTACTCGTACCGAGGCTCCCACAAGGCCATGCGGGAGGGCGCGTGGCACATTTTTTTGCGCCAGCTATCGTGGAGTGTGTCGGTCGTATGGCTACAGTTCTCTGCGGTGAGTACGACGTCTTTAAAAACAACAACGCTACTACACCTCTCTGAATAAAATGAACGCCTACCCGCTCACGCGTTCCGAGGTTCGGCGGTGAACGGGACCCCCCCCACAGCCTGCAACTTGCAGACGTCTCGGAACGGGAAGAGGGTTATGTCGCAGGCTTCAGAGCGCAGCAAGGCAAACACCCGATGGGTTACAAGACGCTAAAATAAATAAAAAATGATTATACGAGTTTCGTTATTTTTTGGGGTATTCTTTTCCGTAGCGCAGCGGGGATGTTCCAAGTAAGCATGGGATTGACGAAGGCTGTAATCGGACCAATAGTATTGCTGTTATTTGTAAATTGTTTTTTTCCCCACTTAACACTGTTTCAAAGATCGCTTCCCAGCATCCGCGCCTTGGGGGGTTGAGTGACAAAGGGAGAAGGGGGTGAGGCAGCAAGGAGGAGTTGTGACCAATGGACACGGCTGCCGTGTTGGCCCGGTTAACCCTCAGGTACTGCTGCTTATTGTTGCTGCTGCTGCTGCGTTTTGGCTTGTTGGCTTTCCTCCGCACCTCCTATGAGCACGGTCGGCTACGTCAGAGGTCGCAACCGGGTACCCGATACCCGTACCCTACCCGATACCCGGCTACCCGTACCCGGCCGGGTACGGGTACCTGTTTGCAACCCTGGTGCGGCCGGGTACGGGTACGGGTAGACCGTGAGTCACTGGTGAGTCACCGTTTGTCACTCATTTCCCAACGTCTTGTCTCTTCTCACAATTCAAGTTCCTAGAATCAACCCACCTGCGCCTGTAACAGGGCTTCATCCCAGAGGTCGCAATCGGGTACCCGATACCCGTACCCTACCCGTACCCAGACGGGTACGGGTACGGCCGGGTACGGGTACCCGTTTGTGACCCTGGTGCGGCCGGGTACGGGTAAGGAATCAAAACCCGTTTGCGACCTCTGGGCTACGTACGGTGCGAAAGGAGTTCACCATGCCCATGCACGCACGTATGCGCATCGGAAACGTTTCACAGCCGAGGTGCGGGAAAATAACTACTCTTGTCGGAAAAAAGGTCGGGCAGTGCCCTGCCTAGAATTATGCGGTTATTGATATTCGTTTATATTTTTTGTTACAAATTAAAATAAAGTCTGTGGAATATCTGTACCCCCCCCCCACCCACCCCGTTTCTCCCATTGCTCGTGCTTTGTACTGGGTTATGGTTCAATAAAAAAACACACAACCGTTTACAAGTACTATAATACATTGGAACCTTATTTGTCAGTAGCAAAATATGATCGTTGGTTTTTTACCCTTTTATCTGGCAACAAAACTGACACCTTCTTTACAAGGAGTCATGTTTGCATTGACCACAATACCTGCAGTCGGAATGCAAAAAAAGAGACTAGGCTCGAAAGAAAGCTGTCTCGGGTGTGGACCAATCAACTTCAAGGACAGTGCATATCATTATCAGAGTTGTGTTTTTTGTTTGCATTCCGACTGCAGGTATTGTGGTCAATGCAAACATGACTCCTTGTAAAAAAAAGGTGTCAGTTTTGTTGCCAGATGAAAGGGTAAACAAACAATTATCAAGTACTATAAAACCAAGCTAAATGCTTAAACAAAGTGATTTTATTTATTTGGCATTTTTTTTACTGCTTAAAAAGAATCGAAATATTGGTGCCCAGTTGTAAGAGGGACATCCCTCCGTGCCTGCACGCCCTCTGCCCCCTGGCTGTCGTACTGCAAGTCTATATTTACGGCACGTACAGATACAAAAAAGTAAATAAAGGAAGCGCCTTAGGGGCCGTCCATAAATGACGTCACGCACCTAGGGGGGGGGGGGGGGTCAGACATTTGTGACGATGTGTGACGAGGGGGGGGGTTCAGAAATGTAACGTCATATCAAAATGCGCAACTTTAAATAAATATGGACAACACGTTCTACTTAGTTAAATAGACTTTTAAATAAACGTTTCCTCCTACAACATCAGAGTGCAGCGCTACATTAAATACGCACTACAATGACAATAGTTGAAAGCGATTTGAAGCATGTTTTATATTTTGGGGGTGGGGGGGGGGGCAGAGCTTTGTGACGTCATATTTGAGGAGGGGTCTGACTTTTTGTGACGCCGTGTGATGATGGGAGGGGGGGGGGTCAAAAATCGTCCAAAATCGCGTGACGTCATTTATGGACGGCCCCCTTATGTGATGCCGCGGTGGCTAGGAGATGTTAACTACATCGCCTGGTAGACAGGAGGTCGTGGGTTCGATTCCGACCCTGACGCCTGCTGTATATTTGGAGTTTGCGTGTCTCTCATCATCATCACGGTGGCTAGGAGATGTTAACTACCTCGCCTGGTAGACAGGAGGTCGTGGGCTCGATCGCCACCACCCTGACGCCTGCTGCTGTATATTTTGAGTTTGCGGTGTCTCTCTCCCCGTGGTCGCGTGGAGTTCAGATAGCGCTCGCCGCCGACGTTAGCTCTGGCCCGGGAATCGAACTTGTCTTGAATCCTTGGTGCTGATTGGTAGCGAATCGTCGGCTATTCACTCGCACAGCACGTCAAGGAGCATACACCATCACGCGAACTCCGGCCATCCTGCGCAGCATCAGCGGCTTTTGGCTGCCCATCGAAACAAAGACGGTCACTGCATCGCGCGCTTTCAGATGCGCTGCTTCTGTGGCCGTCTGGAACGCTCTTCCTTCCCACATTAGGAAGCCACTGGAGCTACGCGCTTTTGAATCTACACGTTACCCTTCCCCCGCGCGCCTTCGATGATCACCGTTGGCTACGTACGGTGCGAAAGAAGTTCAACATACGTACGCACATGCATGCGCCGTTTCATGAACCCCGGCAAACGCGAGTTCGATTCCTAGGACACGGCTAACATCACAGGTGAGCAATAACAGAACCGGTCCTGGGGGCCACTGCATCGCGCGCTTTCAGATGCGCTGCTAAACGACCGTCTGGAACGCTCTTCCTTCCCACATTAGGAAGCCACTGGAGCTACGCGCTTTTAAATCTACACATTACCCTTCCCCCGCACGCCTTCGATGACCACGGTTGGCTATGTACGGTGCGAAAGAAGTTCAACATGCGTACGCACATGCATGCGCTGTTTCATGAACCCCGGCAAACCCGAGTTCGATTCCTAGGACACGGCTAACACCAGTGGTGAGCAATATCTGAACCGGTCCTGGGGGTCACCGCAACGCGCGCTTTTAGATGCGCTGCTTCTGTGGCCGTCTGGAATGCTCTTCCTTCCCACGTTAGGAAGTTACTGGAGCTACGCGCTTTTAAATCTACATGTTACCCTTCCCCCGCACGCCTTCGATGATCACGGTTGGCTACGTACGGTGCGAAAGAAGTTCAACATATGTACCCCTGGATGGCCCTTTACGCCGTCGATAAACGAGAGCTTGTATTATGCCTCGCCAGCAGGCCATTAATTACTTTCTGAGCAACCCTCGTACATGAACGAATCAGAATCGTTATTTATATTGTAAAGAATGCTATCATCGCCCACCCCCCCCCTTACTGTGAAAACTTGGTAAGGTACCCCTCCTGAAATAGTCATGAGGCTCAGGAAGGCATTTCTGGGTAAGCAGGCATAGTAATAATAATTATAATTAGATGTAGCGTTACAACCCATGTGAGACTAGGCTCTAAGGAAAGCTGTCTCGGGTGTGAACCAATCAACTTCAAGGACAGTGCATACATTATCAGAGTTATGTCCTTTGTTTGTATTATGACCGCAGGTATTGCGGTCTATACAAACATGACTCCTTGTAAAAAGGTGTCAGTTTTGTTGCCAGATAGAAGGGTAAAAAAAACAATTATCATATTTTTACTGGCAAATGAGGTTCCCATAGCGTTACATTGTTACGGTACTTTTTTTTATAGAAAAAAAGTTTAACACGTAGTAGTAGGATTTCGCGACAAATATCCATATTAGAGGAGGTTTTTTTGGGGGGGGCTTAGATCGCGTAAATATGAATGTGTCGTTAAACCCGCCACCACCCGACCCAGCCAATTCGCAAGGTTTGTCACGTAAACAAAACGTGGCACATTCGTTACTAGTGTGGTGGCAGGGTTGGCCACGATTTCCACTACTCGTAGCCGGCAGTACTCGCTCATGCCAGTAGAGAGCTGAAGGGAGGCCGGACCTGCTCAAGAATAATGATGGGCAGATGGTCCGATGCAATCCCTGTGGGGGGCATCGGGACCAACGGTTGTGACCCCAGGCCCCCGGAAGTTGGCTGGGGGATGAGGTCGTTCTCCAGGGACTTCGAGATGGTTCTGGTTCTTATACACTACATTACTATACACTACACTAATACACTATTATACACTCCATTACTATACACTACACTAATATATACTACACTATACGCTACTATACACTACACTATACACTACACTATTATACACTACATTACTATACACTACACTATATACTACACTATTATACACTCCATTACTATACACTACACTATTATATACTACACTATACGCTACTATACACTACACTATTATACACTACATTACTATACACTACACTATATACTACACTATTGTACACTACATTACTATACACTACGCGACTATACACTACACTAATACACTATACACTACACTATACACTATTATACACTCCATTACTATAAACTACACTACTATATACTACACTATACACCACACTAAACCATACCTGTCAACCCATGCGGTTTAGCCTTATTGCTGTGCAGGGAAGGTAGGGCACCGATAAGGGGCCGTCCATAAATGACGTCACGCACCTATGGGGGGGCGGGGGGTCAAACATTTGTGACGATGTGTGACGAGGGGGGGGGGTTGAGAAATGTGACGTCACATCAAAATGCGCAACTTTAAATAAATATAGACAACACGTTCTACTTAATTAAATATACGTTTTAATGTTTTCTCCTACAACATCAGAGTGCAGCGCCACATTAAACACGCACTACAATGACAATAGTTTAAAGCGATTTGAAGCAAAGTTTTTTTTTTTGGGGGGTGGGGCAGAGCTTTGTGACGTCATATTTGAGGGGGGGGTCTGACTTTTTGTGACGCAGTGTGACGACGGGGGGGGGGTCAAAAATCGTCCAAAATCGCGTGACGTCATTTATGGACGGCCCCTAAGGGGTGAGGGGGGGGGTGACAGGTATGACTATTCACACAGCCAGTGCCCCCCCCCACACCAGACATATTTATTTATTTATACCCCCCCCCCCCCTTTCTCCGATTGACACCGGCCGAGACACATCGTTACTCTCTGGTTCTTTCGGTAAAGTCACGTAGGTTTAAAATAAAATTAAAATAAATCACGACGTTTCGATTGCAACACAAGCAATCATCATCAGATGATCGTCGTGATTTTATTTTATTTTTCTACCCCACGTGACTTTACCGAAAGAGCCATAGAGTATGGATTCCTGCAGTCACGAAAGCTTCAAATCAAGATCGAACTACTGTACATCTTTGCTATTTTGTTTCTTTCGGTAAAGTCACGTAGAAGGGAAGTAATAAAATAAATAAAATAAACCAATAAAAAAGATTAATATTTTTTATTAATTTTTTTATTAAAAAACAGGAAATTTTTTTATATTATTTTTATTATTCTTTTCTTAAAAAACAAGAAAAAGATTTCTATTATTTTATTATATCTTCTTATTTTATTATTTCCCTTCTACGTGACTTTTAACCGAAAGAAGCAAGAATATGAATCCCTGCAGCCAACAAAAGCTTTTCATCGAAATTTGACATCGTTTGCTCTTCGCGTCGGAAGCAAATTCGCCGCGGTCCCTCACCACCACCCCCCACCACTCCCCACCACCCCCCACCCAGCGCGAGGCACCGCGGCGAATCAGCGGCTCGCAGAGGCAGTTGATGGTGGTGGTCGCCGCCGTTGAAACAGCAACAGCAGCAGCAGCAACGGCCTGTTCGTGTGTTTTTAAACCTCAACTACGACAATTCTCTCAGCGCTGCGGTGGCAGAAAGTTGTGTCTTCTTGGTGAGCGGGCGGATGCAGATAGGAGGTTTTTAATTATTCTTCTTCTTAGCCGAAGTCGTTGAACATCGCTTTTTTGTGTTGTTTGTTTTGTTCGAAAATCCACGGCGAGATACCGGATCGAACCGTCGATAACTCGCTCCGTTGGAAACTCCGGATTGTAGTTCGGTGAGTAACGCCATCGCTCAAAACTCCTCAATAACTGGGTGGACTCAGTCCCCCAATCACTCGCTCGTGATCAATACCCCCCCCAATCACTCGCTCGTGATCAATAACCCCCCCCAATCACTCGCTCGTGATCAATAACCCCCCCAATCACTCGCTCGTGATCAATAACCCCCCCAATCACTCGCTCGTGATCAATAACCCCCCCAATCACTCTCGTGATCAATAACCCCCCCCCAATCACTCGCTCGTGATCAATAACCCCCCCAATCACTCGCTCGTGATCAATAACCCCCCAATCACTCGCTCGTGATCAATAAACCCCCCCCCATCACTCTCGTGATCAATAACCTCCCCAATCACTCGCTCGTGATCGATAACCCCCCCAATCACTCGCTCGTGATCGATAACCCCCCAATTAGTCGCTCGTGATCAATAACCCCCAATCACTTGTGATCGATAACCCCCCCAATCACTCGCTCGTGATCAATAACCCCACCAATCACTCGCTCGTGATCAATAACCTCACCAATCACTCGCTCGTGATCAATAACCTCCCCAATCACTCGCTCGTGATCAATAACCCCCCCAATCACTCGTGATCAATAACCCCCCCAATCACTCGCTCGTGATCAATAACCCCCCCAATCACTCGCTCGTGATCAATAACCCCCCCAATCACTCGTGATCAATAACCCCCCAATCACTCGCGCGTGATCAATAACCCCCCCTCCTAATCACTCGCTCGTGATCAATAACCCCCCCCAATCACTCGCTCGAGATCAATAACCCCCCCCAATCACTCGCTCGTGATCAATAACCCCCCCCAATCACTCGCTCGTGATCAATAACCCCCCCCATCACTCGCTCGTGATCAATAACCCCCCCCATCACTCGCTCGTGATCAATAACCCCCCCAATCACTCGCTCGTGATCAATAACCCCACCAATCACTCGCTAAACTGCTCCACACACACTCGCTCATCTAAACTAATGCCTATCTAATTAAACACAACTCACTCAAAACTCCTGGTCAACTCACTAAACTGCTCCATCACTCACTCAAGATAAGGGGCCGGCCATAAATGACGTCACGCATCCTAGGGGGGGGGGGTCAGACATTTGTGACGATGTGTGACGAGGGAGGGGGGTGTTTGAGAATGTGACGTCACATCAAAATGCACAACTTTAAATAAACATAGCCAACACGTTCTACTTAATTAAATAGACTTTGTAATAAATGTTTTCTCCTGCAACATCAGAGTGCAGCGCCACATTAAATACGCACTACAATGACAATAGTTTAAAGCGATTTGAAGCATGTTTTATATATTTTTTTGTAACGTCATATTTGAGAGGGGGGTCTGACTTTTTGTGACGCCGTGTGACGAAGGGGGGGGGGGGTCACAAATCGTCCAAAATCGCGTGACGTCATTTATGGACGGCCCCTAAGTTTCAAGTTACATTTGTTTAACACCAGCCGAGAAGTCAAGAGGCCAGGATAGGAGTCTCGTTTGCAAGGGTGATCCTATCCATTAGTCTGCCGGAAGGGGGCGATGATTGCTATGGGGCACCACGGTGGCTAGGAGATGTTAACAACCTCGCCTGGTGCACAGGAGGTCGTGGGTTCGATCCCGACCCTGACGCCTGCTGCATATTTGGAGTTTGCGGTGTCTCTCTCTCATCATCATCACGGTGGCTAGGAGATGTTGACTACCTTGCCTGGTGTACAGGAAGGAGGTCGTGGGTTCGATCCCGACACTGACGCCTGCTGTATATTTTGAGTTTGCGGTGTCTCTCTCTGATCATCATCACGGTGGCTAGGAGATGTTAACTACCTTGCCTGGTGTACAGGAGGTCGTGGGTTCGATCCCGACACTGACGCCTGCTGTATATTTTGAGTTTGCGGTGTCTCTCTCTCTCATCATCATCACGGTGGCTAGGAGATGTTAACTACCTTGCCTGGTGCACAGGAGGTCGTGGGTTCGATCCCGACCCTGACGCCTGCTGCATATTTGGAGTTTGTGGTGTCTCTCTCTCATCATCATCACGGTGGCTAGGAGATGTTGACTACCTTGCCTGGTGTACAGGAGGTCGTGGGTTCGATCCCGACACTGACGCCTGCTGTATATTTTGAGTTTGCGGTGTCTCTCTCTCTCATCATCATCACGGTGGCTAGGAGATGTTAACTACCTTGCCTGGTGCACAGGAGGTCGTGGGTTCGATCCCGACCCTGACGCCTGCTGCATATTTGGAGTTTGCGGTGTCTCTCTCTCATCATCATCACGGTGGCTAGGAGATGTTAACTACCTTGCCTGGTGTACAGGAGGTCGTGGGTTCGATCCCGACCCTGACGCCTGCTGCATATTTGGAGTTTGCGGTGTCTCTCTCTCATCATCATCACGGTGGCTAGGAGATGTTGACTACCTTGCCTGGTGTACAGGAGGTCGTGGGTTCGATCCCGACACTGACGCCTGCTGTATATTTTGAGTTTGCGGTGTCTCTCTCTCATCATCATCACGGTGGCTAGGAGATGTTAACTACCTTGCCTGGTGTACAGGAGGTCGTGGGTTCGATCCCGACACTGACGCCTGCTGTATATTTTGAGTTTGCGGTGTCTCTCATCATCATCACGGTGGCTAGGAGATGTTGACTACCTTGCCTGGTGTACAGGAGGTCGTGGGTTCGATCCCGACACTGACGCCTGCTGTATATTTTGAGTTTGCGGTGTCTCTCTCTCATCATCATCACGGTGGCTAGGAGATGTTAACTACCTTGCCTGGTGCACAGGAGGTCGTGGGTTCGATCCCGACCCTGACGCCTGCTGCATATTTGGAGTTTGCGGTGTCTCTCTCTCATCATCATCACGGTGGCTAGGAGATGTTGACTACCTTGCCTGGTGTACAGGAGGTCGTGGGTTCGATCCCGACACTGACGCCTGCTGTATATTTTGAGTTTGCGGTGTCTCTCTCTCATCATCATCACGGTGGCTAGGAGATGTTAACTACCTTGCCTGGTGTACAGGAGGTCGTGGGTTCGATCCCGACACTGACGCCTGCTGTATATTTTGAGTTTGCGGTGTCTCTCTCTCATCATCATCACGGTGGCTAGGAGATGTTGACTACCTTGCCTGGTGTACAGGAGGTCGTGGGTTCGATCCCGACACTGACGCCTGCTGTATATTTGGAGTTTGCGGTGTCTCTCTCTCATCATCATCACGGTGGCTAGGAGATGTTGACTACCTTGCCTGGTGTACAGGAGGTCGTGGGTTCGATCCCGACACTGACGCCTGCTGTATATTTTGAGTTTGCGGTGTCTCTCTCTCATCATCATCACGGTGGCTAGGAGATGTTAACTACCTTGCCTGGTGTACAGGAGGTCGTGGGTTCGATCCCGACCCTGACGCCTGCTGTATATTTGGAGTTTGCGGTGTCTCTCTCTCATCATCACGGTGGCTAGGAGATGTTAACTACCTTGCCTGGTGTACAGGTGGTCGTGGGTTCGATCCCGACACTGACGCCTGCTGTATATTTTGAGTTTGCGGTGTCTCTCTCTCTCATCATCATCACGGTGGCTAGGAGATGTTAACTACCTTGCCTGGTGTACAGGAGGTCGTGGGTTCGATCCCGACCCTGACGCCTGCTGTATATTTGGAGTTTGCGGTGTCTCTCTCTCATCATCACGGTGGCTGTGAGATGTTAACTACCTCGCCTGGTGTACAGGAGGTCGTGGGTTCGATCCCGACACTGACGCCTGCTGTATATTTGGAGTTTGCGGTGTCTCTCTCATCATCACGGTGGCTAGGAGATGTTAACTACCTTGCCTGGTGTACAGGAGGTCGTGGGTTCGATCCCGACACTGACGCCTGCTGTATATTTGGAGTTTGCGGTGTCTCTCTCTCTCTCTCATCATCATCACGGTGGCTAGGAGATGTTAACTACCTCGCCTGGTGTACAGGAGGTCGTGGGTTGGATCCCGACACTGACGCCTGCTGTATATTTGGAGTTTGCGGCGTCTCTCTCTCATCATCATCACGGTGGCTAGGAGATCTTAACTACCTCGCCTGGTACACAGGAGGTTGTGGGTTCGATCCCGACCCTGACGCCTGCTGTATATTTGGAGTTGCGGTGTCTCTCTCATCATCATCACGGTGGCTAGGAGATGTTAACTACCTCGCCTGGTACACAGGAGGTTGTGAGTTCGATCCCGACCCTGACGCCTGCTGCTGTATATTTGGAGTTTGCGTGTCTCCCTCTTTCTCTCTCCCCGTGGTTGGGTGGATTTTTTCTCCGGGTCCTCCGGTCTCTCCCCCCCTCCCTACATTGAGAATCATCATCATATGTTTATTTGGCTGTCGCCTGATGATGCTACTTGCAAATGCTGGCAAAACGTCGTACTCGAATTGTCAATGTTGTGGGTTTACTCTCCAACACAGCGGTGTTCTGTACAAGTAACGAATCGGCGTGTTTTGTTTCCGTGACAAACCACACTGATTGGCCGTGGCGGGTTTAACAACACACATTTACGTGATCTAACCCCCAAATAAAACCTCTTATGGATGCGTTTAGAGTATTTGGCTGCTATACATTTCCATGTGATGCTGATAAGCCACTTCGTTGAGCTGTGATAGCCAAGTCACTTCTGAAAAACGATCTCCATAGCTCAGTGGGGCCTTTAGCTGGTAAAATAAAACAAAATTGTGTGATCTCAATTGAGTAATTTGTGGGTAATTTTTCGAATGTGGTCGGTTTGGATGCCGGCACAGAATAGGCATACTCTTGATAATTGGTTTTTTACCCTTTTATCTGGCAACAAAACTGACACCTTTTTTACAAGGAGTCATGTTTGCTTAAACCACAATACCTGCAGTCATAATGCAAACAAAAAACATAACTCTGATAATGTATGCACTGTCCTTGAAGTTGATTGGTCCACACCTGAGACAGCTTTCTTTAGAGCCTAGTCTGGTGTCATCTGGTCCAACACCATTTGCATATCAAGATGAATTTAGCATATTTATGGGAAATGCAGATATGCGAATAGTACTAATTGTGAAATGCATAGGAGGTTTGGCGAGGGGTTTAAAGTCATTATGCCCGTGCATTATGCAGGATTAGCAGCATTATTGAATTTCTTCATAGCTGCTTGTTGTGTTTAGTTTGCTGTTCTTTCCCAGCACCCCCGATTAGCACGGTTGGCTACGTGCGGTGGCGAAAAGAAGTTCAACATACGTACATTCGGGAGACTTTCATCCAGAAGTAGATAGTAGATCATCACTGACTATGATTATGCACAAATGGAAAGTTAAACACACCCCCCCTCCCAACCCGGTTCAGTGTGCGACTGTGGTCACCCAGCACAGAACCGTGGGACATGTAACAACTCAAATCCCGATTCACAGATACATCGCGGCGATGCACTACTCTGCTACCCCTAACACAACCATCCGGCTCATTGAAGCCACCTCGGTGTCAAATTGTAGTTGGTGCTGCACATCGACATCGACCCGACTCTTTGGTTTTTTCGGTAAAGTCACGTAGGTAAAAAATAAAATAAATAAAAAATGAAAAACAACTCGATTAAATCGCCGACGTTCTTCTGAAGACGGACGCTTGTGTTGCGCCCGAACCGTCGTGATTTCATTTGGTTGTTTTTAATTTTTAATTTATTTCTATTTCTACCTACGTGACTTTACCGAAAAAAACTAAGAGTATGGATCCTTGCAGTCACAAAAACTTCAAATCTAACATCAATACAATTTTTGTTCCTGGGTAGTAAGTGTTATTTCGTAATTGCTTATGCCTAAAAAGTATAGAATCTAGCTATTATTCCCCACAAACTTTGCTTTTTGTGGCCAGGACAGTGATATTTAGAAATGTACCTATTTTCAATGAGAAAACGGACGAATTTGTGTCTTTTCGTTCACGTAAAGTCAGAAAAAACCAACGTAGGAATCAAAATTAACATGTATTTGTTACACAGTGTAATGGGAAGGTACTGTTCTCCCGACACGACAAACACCATTGGCAATCCTGCAAAGCGTTACTCAATTACTCAGACCCCCTGGGATGATTGATCGGCTCAGCTGACCCCCAGACCGGAATTAGAACTTGCAACCTTTTGATTGTGAATCGGACACTCCAGACCGCATTGACCAACTTTAGCCAGTGTGGTCACGGTGTTATGTTTACATTTCTATTCACAGCCCTTGAATCAATCCACTGCTGGATGACTAAGGCCTTCCCATGTCATGTAGGTCATGGGTTGTGTTTGACCATACTTCACCGCGCTGGTCAGTTTGTGTTGTTGATTGTCTGAGGACCGGTTTGGAGATATTGCTCGCCGCTGATGTTTGTCCTGAGCAGGAATCGAACACGGGTCTTGCCGAGTTCACTGCGCCAGGGCGTTCACCGCTGCACCGCTGGTTCTCCCAGTAATACTATTCCATTACATATATTCACTCTATCAAGACAGTTAAAAAGTACAACTCTGTCGCAGTTATGGAGTGGTCTATGCACCTCAATGAGAATCAGAATCTTTATTTTAGCTGGGAGGAATCTGATGAGCTATGAAGCTCATTTTCGCAGATGTTCAGTTTTGGGTGGGTCAGCAAGAGTATGGACGGGACAGCAGGCAGAGCGAATGGTTTTCTAAAAATAAGTTTCGTACATAGTCGGTACGTGGCAAGAGAAAAAGATACACGTGTTGCTATTAATACGACGCAGCATTTATAGCAAGAGCAGACGGCCACTTTAAAAAAAAAACTCGGCTTGCGGAGGCTGGAGCTCATGCCCACCCGTCCTCGATTTTGATCGGGGTGTCCTTTCTTATTTGCCTCACTGGCACCTTTGGCAGTCTCGGTGATAGCAGGTTGCTTGAGTTCTGCTGGAATAGATCGGCAGTGGCGCGTTAATTACGCGTGTGAGCGGGAGAATAAGTGCCGTGTTTGTGTCTTCGAGATGACTCGCTCGGAACAGAACCCAGCGTTGGGTCTTCGTCTTCAGGACACCTCTCGGAGTGATCTTTGACGTGGCCTGCAGCTCTTAAAGAAACACCCAGATTCACCACGGCTTGAACCCATGCCCCCCCCACCCCCCCAGAATTGCTGGCTCAGTGTTTCATTGTAGACGTAACCTTCCAGAGAGAAAGAGCGAGAAAGAACTCCCACGGCTAGGACTTTAACCCAGGTCTTAGAGACGTTACGTCGATGTCTCATCGCAGGCATTAGAGAAAGAAACACACCCATGGAGTCATCCGTTATATTTCATTGTAAACACGTTCCTTCGGAGTGGGCAGGTAGGAACTTGGTTGGACAGCGCATTCGTGCGATCCTTGTCACGCGGCGCAAGCTGCGTGGGGCGGCGCGTCACGTGGTGCTGAGCCCGCCCGAAGCGCTCTATGAAATACAAATCGAGGGCGTGGCTATGCACGACAGACAAATAATCCCTGGTGGGCAGTGTGGAACCTGTTGTTCCTACCTGTATAAATGAGCCACATATAAATGTGGAACTTGTATCAACTCTCCTTGCCAGTTAATGCTGAATTATTTCGCCGAAGCACTCGTGTCGTAGCCGAGCTGGACAATTCAGCTGCAGTCAAACCGAATATTCGCCCGGTTCATAGCTGTCGCCAATATTTCCGCGGCGCCCCTCCAGCCCTGCAGATTTTTCCATGCGTGTGTTTTTATTGCCGCCCGGCCCGAACCACGCAGGAATGGCGTGCGCCGCGGTGCTGGAGCCGAGCAGGGACTTCCCGGCGTGGCTGGAGGCGCAGGGCGTGAACGAGGAGGTGGCCCGGGCCATGGATTCGGAGCTGGGCATCCGGGACTACGGGGTCCTGCGCGCCTGCGTCGGGGACGGCCTCGTGCGTGCCGAGCTGCTGGCCACGGCGCGCGACCGCCTGCCCTTCGGCTTCTACGCCGTGCTGCGGCAGGTGGTGAAGGCCCTGCAGGGCGCCGAGCCGTTCCAACTGCCACTTTTTGACGACGGCGGCAGCAGCGGTGGCAGCGGGTCGTCGCCCGGCGTGGTGAGGGACGTGACCCTGGAGGGGTTGATCGAGGTGCTCGCCAACTTGTTCGGCGGACTGAGCCGCGAGCTGTCGGTGTCCATGCAGAGGCTGGGACGCGTCCACGGAGCGGACTGCGGCCCCGGGGAGGAGAATGGAGAATACCCGAGTGCCGGTGAGACTTCCATCGGCAGTCGTCGGCGTCATCGTCTTCGTTAGGCATGCAACGATGAAGCCTACACCCCTCGCGCTCGCACGGTTACTCCCCGACTCTTTTGAACACGCTTTATGAGGGTGTGTGTGCGGAGCGCCGGGTGGCTAAAGCTCAGCAAGTTGGTACAGTAGGGGGCACAGGTGGTGCATCAGCCAGTCATCTTGGTCATCTCGGTCAGTAGACCAGTGGCACCTGCTGGGTCTGCCCCGTGACCTCCTGCCAGCGGGCGTTCGACACTTCACGTGGCCTCAAAGTGCACATGGCCTGGCACAAGCGTCGTGGTGACGTCACCGCCACTTAGTGGCGAATGGCGGTTGTTGTGTTGTGTAGTGGTTAGCGCGCTGCACTATGAACCCGGTGAGCCGAGTTCGATTCCCGCTTACGGACAATACCGGTGACGATTTTCTCAACCGGTTGTGGGCCTCCCCTAGGTCGACTCAGCCTCAAATGAGTACCTGGTGTGGTGTGTAAACATCACGCCATGCCGGCCTTCATAGGTGCTCGGTAACAAAAAAAAACTTTTCCCAAAAGTCAAAACCATCCCCATCCTACCAGACAAGGCCCATTGAACCTATTAGCTTCTTTTTCAAAAGCGACCTGGCCACAAATGATAGCTCAACAAAGTGGCCCATAATTTGGACATTTACAGCAGACAACATTATCTAAAAATAGTCGAACTGCGCGTTTATAAACGCGGAGGGGAGAAAAACCGGAGGACCAGAATTTTGGGCATAAATAGGTTAGCCTTGTAAATACAGCGCGGAGTGGCGTTAAACAGAACCTCGGCCAAAGCGTGGGGAGACGTATCACTACTCGATGCCCGATTCACAGACACGGATGAGGCATCATCACAGCAGCGACACCCTGCTCCTCCCGATGCAATTATCTGGCTCAACCGCCTCAGTGTAAATGTATTGTCGGTGTTCTTCTTGGTTCTTTCGGTAAAGTCACGTAGAAGGGAAGTAATAAAATAATAAAAATAAAACATAATAAAACAATTCTCACGACGTTTCGGCCACAACGCAAGCAGCCGTCCTCAGGTGAAAACCAGGTCTGTCGAGGCGACAGCGTCTGAAAAATGTATTGTCAGTGCTCATTTATCAACATCGGCCATAAAAGGAAGATGAAATTTTGCGTTGGATTTCCATGAATCAAGAATGTACGTACGTATGTTGAACTTCGGTGCATAGCCAACCGTGCTAATCGGAGGCGCGAAAATAATGATTGATTTTCTTGGTTCTTTCGGTAAAGTCATGTAGAATGGAAATAATAAAAATAAAACATCAAATAATTCTCACGACGTTTCGGCCACAACGCAAGCAGCCGTCCTCAGGTGAAGAACAGGTCTGTCGATAAGACAGAGTCTGAATGACACGTCCTGGGCTTGGAGCGTCTATTTAAGCTGGGAGGGAGGAGGAAGAGCACCTTGACAAAAGAATTTGCATATCAATAGGAATTTTTGCATATTTATGTAATATTACACTATGTATTATTCTACCCACCCTACTGCACACCACACTGCTGCATATTCACCGTACAACTACTTTACCGAAAGAACCAAGAAGATGAATCCCTGCAGTCACAAAAGCTTTAAATCGAAAAGCACACCAGTTAGGCACACGGCAGGTCAAGAATGGGTGGGCTGTGTATGAACAGCAGACCAGATTGTGAATTGCTCATACAACAGGTGAGAGAGCTTTGTTCTCTCTCCGTGCGTGCGGTGTCCTTTTTCAAAGACTTTGGCAACCATGGCCATCCATCTTCCATTAACTCTGTCCTTGATATTTACTCAAGAACTTGGCATTTGATACTCCTTCCCAGTTTTCATCCAGTTGTTCAAATTGCTGAGCTGCGCTCTGTGTGCAATGATGGTGTCGTAAGTCAGTGCAAATGTGTTTTAAATGAATCCCACTGTGCCTCATGCATTCGGCTCTCTCTCTGCAGGCAACGACCCGTGCCAAGATCAAGATCATGGAGCAGACGGCCACTACTTGAACCAGTCTTGTAAGCACCGCACCGCTGTTCACCTCTTCGTTTGAGTTACGTCAGCTACGTTGTGGGCGACCAGATGTCTCGGACGAGAGGAGATATGCGACGACGTGTCGATAGATTTGTTTTTTCCTTGCGAAGTCGTGACGATCGGCCGCGGGATTCGCTTGTGCGAGGAATCGATTGTTATGTTCTTGCTCTGGGGATTTAAAGATGTCTATCGTTCATAATCAACGTTTTTGGGTTTAGATCGCGTTATTTATAAATGTGTCGTAACCCTCCACCACCCGACACGGCCAATCAGTAAAAAAGTGTCACGTTGACAAAAGACAAATAGTTCACTGCTTTAGCCCACCGGTGTGTTGAAGCGTGAAACCACAACATTTACAATTTGAGTAGTACGACGTTTCGCTGGTAATTGCATCCAGCATCATCGGGCAATTCGCCAGAATGGTGCTGGATGCAATTACCAGCGAAACGTCGTATTTGTCTTTTGTCAACGTGACACTTTTTTACTGATTGGCCGTGTCGGGTGGTGGAGGGTTACGACACATTTATAAATAACGCGATCTAAACCCAAAAACGTTTATTATGAATAATATTGGTCGCGAAAGCCTACGTGTTAAACAGATGTCTGTCGGTTGGACTGCCATGCGACGGACATTGATGCTCCGTGCAGCAGGGCGCTTGGAAGAGCAGCCCCACCGTTACTGGAGGAGAGGACTGCTTTCCCAGCTCGTGTAGTCGCTCAGACGCCGTGACCACCACCTTGCCACAACACACCCGTCTTTCAGCACTGCACTTGACCCTCTCTTAAGTGTCCCGAAAGATCCACTGGGGTTTGATCTTCCAGGAAGCTGCTCATGGTCCACTCTAAATCGCACCCGCCGCACGACACTGTGGGCAGATGCGGATACCTGATGCACAAATGGAAAAAAAAATTCTCCGGTAGCATGCGACTGCGCTCATCGAGATCAGACCATACAACGTATCACGACGCAATGCCCAGTCCACAAGTGCGGAGGAGGCATTACGGCAATACACTCCGCTGCTGCTCCTGATGCGGTTGTCTGGATTGACCACATTAATGTGAAATTGTAGTCTGCATGCATTTACATCAGCAGCCGTACGAAAGATGGAATTGTCCTAAAGATCATGCGAGCCACAAATGACGTCTCTCGCTCGTGGCAACTCTACCCCGCGGTGCCAGGAGTCAACACTGGAGCGAGAGCCACTGAATCGGTGTTTTCGTTTTTCTATTTTCTATTCGCAGACGAGGACGGAGATGTCCCTTCCCTGGAAACGTCCAGCACCATCCACTCGGACCAGGGCATTAAAATTGAGAGCGTGCCAGGTATCTCCGAAAACGTTCCGCCAGAGGTCGCAAACGGGTATTGATTCCTTACCCATACCCGGCCGCACCAGGGTCGCAAACGGGTATCTGTACCCGTACCCGGCCGGGTATGGGTACCCGTACGCTACCCGTACCCTACCCGAAATGAGTGACAAACGGATACTCACCGGTGACTCACGGCCTACCCGTACCCGGCCGCACCAGGGTCGCAAACGGGTACCCGTACCTGGCCGGGTATGGGTACCCGTACGCTACCCGTACCCTACCCGAAATGAGTGACAAACGGTTACTCACCGGTGACTCACGGCCTACCCGTACCCGGCCGCACCAGGGTCGCAAACGGCTACCCGTACCCAGCTGGGTACGGGTAGCCGGGTATCGGGTAGGGTACGGGTATCGGGTACCCGGTTGCGACCTCTGCGTTCCGCTACTTTGAATGGGGCGTCACGGGACTGTGTGACGGCTAGGAAGGCCATCAGTCGGCATTCGATAGGTCGCGGCCGACGACGATGAAGATGCTGCTGATGACGTGAGAGAGGAGCAGGGAAGCGCAACCTCGTGTTGCAGTGGGGTTGGACGCACACCGAGTCACCCGTTGACTGTCGCGCTGGCCCTGCGCGTCACGTGTGCCAGTGCATGTGTGTGCTTGCACGTCATGTGTCCGTTTGTACACATCACATGTTCGTACGCTAATCACACCTCCAATTAGCATGGTTAGCTATGTACGTTACGAACGAAGTTCATCATACATTGCATGTCCGTGTGGTAGCGTAGTGGTTAGCGCTCTGTGCTACGAACTCGGCGACCTGATTTCGATTCCCGCTTACGGCGATCATCAGTGATGAATATCTCGACCGGTCATAGGCCTCCCCTAGGTCTATTCAGCCTTAAATGAGCACCTGGTGCAGTGTGTAAACTATCAGCACTGGGGAGACAAAGGCAGCTGGGCATGGTGTTACCCACCCACCCCCTCGTGTGCTGTGCCGCCCTTCATAGGGTGCTCGCTAACAGCACTTTCCCCAACAGTCTCTTAAAGGCTATACGTGGAATTCTTTGCTTTTGCATCATGTGACCATGTGGATGAGTTCGCGCACGCCATGTGTCCATGCATGCTTCCGTGCGTGTGTTTGCACGCGCGGTTAACTCTGTGAACGGAGAGACGTCCACAATAGTTAGCTGTAGCCTCCGCAACCGACCAACCAACCGCCTCGTCCCTCCGCTCCTCCTCTGTGGCCCCCCTCTTCGTCCTGCAGGTAAAGCCACGGTCGGCGGCGATCACATGTTCGCAATCGAGGACGTCACCTCGCTTCAGAGCGACAAGGTGCGACTCGTGCTGGCGGCCAAGATACGCACCAACGCGCAGCAGCAAGAGCGGCATCTGTCGCAGCAGCAGCAACAGCAGCAGCAGCAGCACCAAGGGCTGGCTACCCGTCGGTGCGCCGAGAACCTGCCGGAGCCCGTCTACCCCGCGGCGCAGCTGCCCAACTCGCACGCGTACCCAGCGGTGCCGGGCGGCAGGAACGGCACCCCGTCTCCGGACGCCGACGCCGACCCTGGGCGGCCGCACGAGTGCCGCCAGTGCGGGCGGCGCTTTGCCAAGTCGGACCAGCTGACGGGTCACATGCGCATCCACACGGGCGAGAAGCCGCACCCGTGCGACTTGTGCGGCCGCACGTTCTCGCACTACGGCAACCTGAAGACGCACCGGCGCACGCACACGGGCGAAAAGCCGTACCGCTGCGGCGCCTGCGGCCGCGCCTTCTCGCAGTGCTCCAGCCTCAAGACGCACCAGCGCATCCACACGGGCGAGAAGCCGTACTCGTGCGACGTGTGCCCACGGGCCTTCGCGCAGTACTCAAGCCTCAAGTACCACATGCGCACGCACACGGGCGAGAGGCCCTACACGTGCCAGGCCTGCGGCAAGAGCTTCAGCATGTCGAGCCACTTCAACAGGCACAGACGCATGTGCTCGAACGCGCTTGTGTAGAAAGGGGCGGCGGCGGGCGCCATCGGGCTCGTTGGGTGGGGGTGGTCAGGTCTAGGCGTGGTCTCGGTGAGGAATCAAGGGCGGCGCGGTGGGGGGGGCAGCTGGATGGACTAAGGCGAAGTTGGGGAAAGGCTGCGTTGTGTTTGCAAGCGCGTTGTTTCCCAAGGATCGTGACAAGGAAGCGGGGGGAGTTTGCTGTGAACTCCGCTGACTGCGATTTACGAAGTGGCCAGGCTGCACGGGGCTTTGCAGGCATGACGGCAAGCGGCAAGCTGTACACACAGCTGACTAGACATTGGGTTGGGGTGCGCTTTTGTTTGCACAGCAAACGCGATGGAGACGTTGAGTTGTCGACACAACAAAAGCACACCATCTTCTTGGTTCTTTCGGTAAAGTGACGTAGAAGGGAAATAATAAAATAATAAAAATTAAACAATAATTCTCACGACGTTTCGGCCACAACGCAAGCAGCCGTCCTCAGGTGAAGAACAGGTCTGTCGGAAAGACGGCTGCTTACGTTGTGGCCGAAACGTCGTGAGAATTATTTTATGATGTTTTATTTTTATTATTTTATTATTTCCCTTCTACGTGACTTTCCCGAAAGAACCAAGAAGATTAATCCCTGCAGTCACGAAAGCTTTAAATCCAAAAGCACACCAGTTAGGCACACGGCATGTCCAGAATGGGTGGGCTGTGTATGAACAGCAGACCAGATTGTGAATTGCTCATACAACAGGTGAGAGAGCTTTGTTCTCTCTCCGTGCGTGCGGTGTCCTTTTTCAAAGACGTTGGCAACCATGGCCATCCATCTCCCATTAACTCTGTCCTTGATATTTACTCAAGAACTTGGCATTTGATACTCCTTCCCAGTTTTCATCCAGTTGTTCAAATTGCTGAGCTGCGCTCGGGTGTGTTTCTGTTTATAATTTATTGGTGCTTTTTGTTTTAATCCTTCATCGAAATCGTCACGGAAGATCTCCGTCGCAGGCCGTGTGCAACGCGCGCCCTTCCTTGTTAGATCTCGAGAAAATGTTCGTGGCTTCCTGTAAATAAAGTTTTTTTTGAAAACCGTATCTTTTGCTGTAAGTCGGTTTCGTGAAAGCTCGTAAGACCCATCGTCCATTATCGACGTGACCTCGGCACCGTCTGAATGTCGCTGAATGCTTCTCCTCTTGGTTCTTTCTGTAAGGGAAGTAATAAAATAATAAAATAAAATAATAAAAATAAAACATAATACAATAATTCTCACGACGTTTCGGCCACAACGCAAGCAGCCGTCCTCAGGTGAAAACCAGGTCTGTCGAAGCGACAGCGTCTGAATGAGACAGCACACGAGCTTGGAGCATATATATAAGCTGGGCTGGAAGGGGGGGGGGGAAGGGGCGCCTTGACAAAAGAATTTGCATAGTCGCGGCATCTCTTCAGAAAGGTGAGAGACTCGATTAGCTGAGCCTTCTTATCACGGAGCTTGTTGAAGGATCTCAAAGTTATGTGGAATCCCTCTCCGTAGAGGCGGTTAAATTTCGATTGAAAGCTTTCGTGACTGCAGGGATTCATCTTTTTGGTTCTTTTATTATTTTATTACTTCCCTTCTACGTGACTTTACTGAAAGAACCAAGAAGATGAATCCCTGCAGTCACGAAAGCTTTAAATCGAAATTGAACGCTTCTCGTTTGGTGGCCACCGCACCCTGCTGCTTCTGCTGCTGTTGTCCACCAGTTGATGAACTGCTTTACTATTTAACACACGTAGGCTTTCGCGACCGGTGCGTTGGAAAGCAAAGCCACAATATTTACAATCTGAGTACGGGTACCATGGCCAGATTGTAAATGTTGTGGCTTTATACTCTTTGGTTCTTTCGGTAAAGTCACGTAGGTAGAAATAAAATAAATCACGGTGTTTCTAATGCAACACAAGCGTCCGTCTTCAGGTGAAAATCGCGATAGCTGCGATGTCTGCTACGAGCAGCACAATGTCTGCTCGAAACGTCGTGATTTATGTTCTTTTATTTCTACCCACGTGATGATGATTGCTTGTCGATTTGAAGCTTTCGTGACTGCAGGGATTCATCTTCTTGGTTCTTTCGGTAAAGTCACGTAGAAGAGAAATAATAAAATAATAAAAATAAAAGACAGCATCTGAACGACAGACCTGTTCTTCACCTGAGGACGGCTGCTTGCGTTGTGGCCGAAACGTCGTGAGAATTGTATTTTATTATGTTTTATTATTTCCCTTCTATGTGAATTTACCGAAAGAACCAAGAAGATGATTGCTTGTGTTGCAATCGAAACGTGATTAAATGTATTTATTTATATATTTCTTTTCTTATATTTTTTTCACCTACGTGACTTTACCGAAAGAACCAAAGAGTATGGATTCCTGCAGTCACGAAAGCTTCAAATCAAGATTGTTGTTGCTTTGCTCTCCAACACACCCATGTGCCGTACTAGTAACGAATTGGCATGTTCTGTTCACGTGACAAAGCTTACTAATTGGCTGTGTCGGTGGTGGTGGGTTTAACGACACATTTATATATACGATCTAACCCAAAAACCCCTGGATTATGGATACTATTTTTTTTTTAGACGAGGCAAGGCCCATTGAGTGTTTTTACAAGTGACCTCGCCGCAAATGATAGCGCAACGAAGTGGCTTATCGTTGATAATTGTTTTTTTACCCTTTTATCTGGCAACAAAACTGACACCTTTTTTTACAGGGAGTCATGTTTACATTGACCACAATACTTGCAGTCATAATGCAAACAAAACACACAACTCTGATAATGTATGCACTGTCCTTGAAGTTGATTGGTCCACACCCGAGACAGCTTTCCTTAGAGCCTAGTCTCAAATGGTGTTGGACCAGATGACGCCAAAAGGCGCACAACTCAAAGACAATGCACCATCAGAGTTATGTTTTTGTTTGCATTCTGACCGCAGGTATTGTGGTCTATGCAAACATGACTCCTTGTAAAAAAAAAGGTGTCAGTTTTGTTGCCAGATAAAAGGGTAAAAAAACAATTATATTTTTTACTGGCAAATGAGGTTCCAATGGTGGCATATCGTTGTGTGTAAATGTTTAGCAGCGGCCAAATACTCGCATGTCTAAATGTGGAGTGGAAAAAGACCAGGAGGCCCGGAGAATCATCCACGCGAACACGGGGAGAACATGCAAACTCCAAATATACGGCAGGCGTCAGCGTTGGGATCCAACCCGCGACCTCCTGCATACCAGGCGAGGTAGTTAACATCTCACACGGGTTGGATGTCCCCGGGGCAATTTCTCGCCATGTGCGAATATTACCAGGAGCGTTTACATGAACACGCAAGCCACCTTTGTTCGTTCAGCGGTGTTTAGTGTCATTGTCACCACTTGAAATATTTGTTTTGTGTGATTTGTTTTTACCTGTTCCTGTACTTTGCAATCCTCTCGTGTTTTTTTGTATTTGTTATTGTAACTTTCTGATCCGCCCCTACTGGACATCTGTGATGAAAAGAGCTTCATAGCTCATCGGATTCCTCCAGAATTAACACATTCCTGCGGAGGGAGCTGGTAGGAACGTCGGGTTGCTCGGTCAATGGCCAGGGTCAACGGCAGGCGTGGTGTATTCCGCAATATGGCCGACTGTGAGGGCGGGCACAAGCCGGCGTGAGTAGGTTAAACGTTGAGTTTTATAAGGGCACCACGGGGTGACCAGCCCCTCCCCACCCAGCCCCTCCCTACCCTCCCCTCCCCACCCAGCCCCTCCCCACCCAGCCCCTCCCCACCCTCCCCTCTCCACCCAGCCCCACCCCTCCCATTTTTGGATGCAGGACGGACGGACACAATAATCCCTTGTGGGCTGGTGGAACCAGGTGGTTCCTACCAGTATAATAATAAAAACGAGCTATAAAGTAGCTCAGTGGACCTTACCTGGTAAAATAAAACATTGTTTAGTTTAACACGTAGACTTTTGGCGACTAATTAACATAAAGGGTTTTTTTGGGGAGGGGGGGGGGGTTAGATCGTGTAAATACAAATGTGTGAGAGAGCGCTGAACCAGTAACGAATTGACACGTTTTGTTGACGTGACAAACCTGATATTCTTGGTTCTTTCGGTAAAGTCACGTAGAAGGGAAATATTAAAATAATACAAATATAAAACAATAAAATTGTCACGGCGTTTCGACTACAACACAAGCAAAGATGTGAAAATGTTCTTGCTGTGGATTTCACACCTGATGATGATTGCTTGTGTTGCAGTCGAAACGTCGTGAGAATTTTATTGTTTAATATTTTTATAATTTTATTATTTCCCTTCTACGTTACTTTACCGAAAGAACCAAGAATATGACGCATTTATATTTTACACGGCCTAACCCTTAAAAAAAAACTTCATGTTTCAACAACATTTTAAAATATGTTCGTTTTGACCCCGTGCCCCTGCTTACTGAGACATTACAAAAAAAGAGCTTAATAGCTTATCGGATTTCCTCCAGTATTCAATTAAAAATAAACAACATTCTAGTATAACGCGTCGGCTTTCGCCAACAATATTCATTATATAAATGTGTCATTAAACCCGACAGACAATTTAGTAAAGGGGTTTGTTCATGTTAACAAAACGTGGACAATTCGTTGGGGGCCGTCCATAAATGACGTCACGCACCTAGGGGAGGGGGGGGGTCAGACATTTGTGACGATGTGTGACGAGGAGGAGGGGGGGGGGGTTGAGAAATGTGACGTCACATCAAAATGCACAACTTTGAATAAATATAGACAACACGTTATACTTAATTAAATAGACTTTGTAATAAATGTTTTATCCTACAACATCAGAGTGCAGCACCACATTAAATACGCAACTACAATGACAATAGTTTAAAGCGATTTGAAGCATGTTTTAAAAAAAAAATTGGGGGGGGGGGGGGGCAGAGCTTTGTGACGTCATATTTGAGGGGGGGGGGTCTGACTTTTTGTGACGCCGCGTGACGATGAGGGGGGGGGGTCAAAAATCGTCCAAAAATCGCGTGACGTCATTTATGGCCGGCCCCTTACTGGTACAGCAGCACGGGTTGTATGTTGGGAGAGCAAATCCACATGTACAGTACAGGGCAAAGGTACTCAGATTATAGTAGTAAGTTTTTACCCTTTAAACTGGTACAAAACTGACACCTTTATACAAGGTGTCAGTTTTGTACCAGTTTAAAGGGTAAACCCCTCCTACTATATTTTGCCACTGGTAAAGGAAGTCTCATAGTGGTACTCAGATTGTTAATGTTGTGGATTTGCTCTGCGTAGATAAGTAAATTTTATTTATTAATTATAACCTATCTACGTGACTATACCGAAAGACCCAAATAACATGAAATCCTGCGGTTAAAGGTCGAGATTGAACAATAAAATTAATTTAATATTAATAATTTATTTGTTGCTGTTGCTGCCGGGCGCGGCGAATCTGCAGTCGCGGCGCGCGACGCCAACTTCGGCGCTGACGTCACCCGGCCCGGCACGCGCGGGGCGCCCAGAGGTGATGGTGGTGATGGTGGTGAGGGTGGTGATGGTGGTGAGGGTGGTGAGGGTGGTGGTGATGGTGGTGAGGGTGGTGAGGGTGGTGATGGTGGTGAGGGTGGTGAGGGTGGTGAGGGTGGTGAGGGTGGTGAGGGTGGTGAGGGTGGTGAGGGTGGTGAGGGTGGTGAGGGTGGTGAGGGTGGTGAGGGTGGTGAGGGTGGTGAGGGTGGTGGTGAGGGTGGTGAGGTGAGGGTGGTGAGGTGAGGGTGGTGAGGGTGGCGATGGTGGTGGTGAGGGTGGTGAGGTGAGGGTGGTGTGAGGGTGGTGAGGGTGATGGTGGTGATGGTGGTGGTGAGGGTGGTGAAGTGGTGAGGGTGGTGAGGTGAGGGTGGTGAGGTGAGAGTGAGGGTGGTCAGGGTGGTGAGGGTGGTAAGGGTGGTGAGGTGAGGGTGGTGAGGGTGGTGATGGTGGTGGTGAGGTGAGGGTGGTGTGAGGGTGGTGAGGGTGGTGATGGTGGTGGTGAGGGTGGTGAAGTGGTGAGGGTGGTGAGGTGAGGGTGGTGAGGTGAGAGTGAGGGTGGTGAGGGTGGTGAGGTGAGGGTGGTGAGGTGAGGGTGGTGAAGTGGTGAGGGTGGTGAGGGTGGTGAGGTGAGGGTGGTGAGGGTGGTCAGGGTGGTGAGGGTGGTAAGGGTGGTGAGGTGAGGGTGGTGAGGGTGGTGAGGTGAGGGAGGTGAGGGTGGTGATGGTGGTGAGGGTGGTGAGGTGAGGGTGGTGAGGGTGGTGAGGTGAGGGTGGTGAGGTGAGAGTGAGGGTGGTGATGGTGGTAAGGGTGGTGAGGTGAGGGTGGTGAGGGTGGTGAGGTGAGAGTGAGGGTGGTGAGGGTGGTGATGGTGGTGAGGGTGGTGAAGTGGTGAGGGTGGTGAGGGTGGTGAGGTGAGAGTGAGGGTGGTCAGGGTGGTAAGGGTGGTGAGGTGAGGGTGGTGAGGTGAGGGTGGTGAGGTGAGAGTGAGGGTGGTGATGGTGGTGAGGGTGGTGAGGTGAGGGTGGTGAGGGTGGTGAAGTGGTGAGGGTGGTGAGGGTGGTGAGGTGAGGGTGGTGAGGTGAGAGTGAGGGTGGTGAGGGTGGTAAGGGTGGTGAGGTGAGGGTCGTGAGGGTGGTGAGGGTGGTGAGGTGAGGGTGGTGAGGTGAGAGTGAGGGTGGTGATGGTGGTGAGGGTGGTGAGGTGAGGGTGGTGAGGGTGGTGAGGTGAGGGTGGTGAGGTGAGAGTGAGGGTGGTGACGGTGGTGATGGTGGTAAGGGTGGTGAGGTGAGGGTGGTGAGGTGAGAGTGAGGGTGGTGAGGGTGGTGAGAGTGAGGGTGGTGAGGGTGGTGAAGTGGTGAGGGTGGTGAGGTGAGGGTGGTGAGGTGAGAGTGAGGGTGGTCAGGGTGGTGAGGGTGGTAAGGGTGGTGAGGTGAGGGTGGTGAGGGTGGTGAGGTGAGGGTGGTGAGGTGAGAGTGAGGGTGGTGAGGGTGGTGATGGTGGTGAGGGTGGTGAGGTGAGGGTGGTGAGGTGAGGGTGGTGATGGTGGTGATGGTGGTGAGGGTGGTGAGGGTGGTGAAGTGGTGAGGGTGGTGAGGGTGGTGAGGTGAGGGTGGTGAGGGTGGTGAGGTGAGGGTGGTGATGGTGGTGAGGTGAGGGTGGTGAGGGTGGTGATGGTGGTGAGGTGAGGGTGGTGAGGTGGTGAGGGTGGTGAGGTGAGGGTGGTGATGGTGGTGAGGTGAGGGTGGTATGGTGGTGAGGTGAGGGTGGTGATGGTGGTGAGGGTGGTGAGGGTGGTGGGGAGGTGAGGGTGGGGAGGTGAGGGTGGTGAGGGTGGTGAGGTGAGGGTGGTGATGGTGGTGAGGTGAGGGTGGTATGGTGGTGAGGTGAGGGTGGTGAGGTGGTGAGGGTGGTGAGGTGAGGGTGGTGATGGTGGTGAGGTGAGGGTGGTATGGTGGTGAGGTGAGGGTGGTGATGGTGGTGAGGGTGGTGAGGGTGGCAGTGAGGTGAGGGTGGGGAGGTGAGGGTGGTGATGGTGGTGAGGTGAGGGTGGTGATGGTGAGGGTGGTGGTGAGGGTGGTGAGAGTGAGGGTGGTGATGGTGGTGAGGGTGGTGAGGGTGGTGAGGTGAGGGTGGTGAGGGGGTGGTGAGGTGAGGGTGGTGAGGTGAGGGTGGTGAGGGGGTGGTGAGGGGGAGGTGAGGGTGGTGAGAGTGAGGGTGGTGAGGTGAGGGTGGTGAGCTTGGTGAGGTGAGGGTGGTGAGGTGAGGGTGGTGAGAGTGAGGGTGGTGAGGTGAGGGTGGTGATGGTGGTGAGGTGAGGATGGTGAGGGTGGTGAGGTGAGGGTGGTGAGGGTGGTGAGGGTGGAGAGGGTGGAGAGGGGAGGGTGGTGAAGGTGGTTAGGGTGGGGAGGTGGTGAGGGTGGTGAGGTGAGGGTGGTTAGGGTGGGGAGGTGGTGAGGGTGGTGAGGGTGGTGAGGTGAGGGTGGTGAGGGTGGTGAGGTGAGGGTGGTGAGGTGAGGGTGGTGAGGGTGGTGATGGTGGTGAGGTGAGGGTGGTGAGGGTGGTGAGGTGAGGGTGGTGAGGTTGGGGTGGTGAGGGTGGTGATGGTGAGAGTGGTGAGGTGAGGGTGGTGAGGGGGGTGAAGTGAGGGTGGTGAGGTGAGGGTGGTGAGGTGAGGGTGGTGAGGGTGGTGAGGTGAGGGTGGTGAGGGTGGTGAGGTGAGGGTGGTGAGGGTGGTGAGGTGAGAGTGGTGAGGGTGGTGAGGGTGGTGAGGTGAGGGTGGTGAGGGTGGTTAGGGTGGAGAGGCGGTGATGGTGGTGAGGGTGGTGAGGTGAGGGTGGTGAGGGTGGTGAGGGTGGTGAGGTGAGGGTGGTGAGGTGAGGGTGGTGATGGTGGTGAGGTGAGGGTGGTGAGGTGAGGGTGGTGAGCGTGGTGAGGTGAGGGTGGTGAGGTTGGGGTGGTGATGGTGAGAGTGGTGAGGTGAGGGTGGTGAGGGGGTAGTGAGGGTGGTGAGGTGAGGGTGGTGAGGTGAGGGTGGTGAGGGTGGTGAGGTGAGGGTGGTGAGGGTGGTGAGGGTGGTGAGGTGAGGGTGGTGAGCGTGGTGAGGTGAGGGTGGTGAGGTGGTGAGGTGGTGAGGGTGGTGAGGTGAGGGTGGTGAGGAGGTGAGGTGAGGGTGGTGAGGTGAGGGGGTGGTGAGGTGGTGATGTGAGGGTTGTGATGATGGTGAGGGTGGGGAGGGGGTGGTGAGGGTGGTGAGGGGGTGGTGAGGTGGTGAGGGTGGTAGGGTGGTGAGGGTGTTGAGGTGAGGGTGGTGAGGGGGTGGTGAGGGTGTTGAGGTGAGGGTGGTGAGGGGGTGGGGAGGTGAGGGTGGTGAGGTGAGGTGAGGGTGGTGAGGGGGGTGGTGAGGGTGGTGAGGTGAGGGGGTGGTGAGGTGGTGATGGTGAGGGTGGTGAGGTGAGGATGGTGAGGGTGGTGAGGGGGTGGTGAGGGTGGTGAGGTGGTGAGGTGAGGGTGGTGAGGGTGTTGAGGTGAGGGTGGTGAGGTGGTGAGGGTGGTGAGGTGAGGGTGTTGAGGTCAGGGTGGTGAGGTGGTGAGGGTGTTGAGGTGAGGATGGTGAGGGTGGTGAGGGTGGTGAGGGGGTGGTGAGGTGGTGAGGGTGGTGAGGTGAGGGTGGTGAGGGTGTTGAGGTGAGGGTGGTGAGGTGAGGGTGGTGAGGGTGTTGAGGTGAGGGTGGTGAGGTGGTGAGGTGAGGGTGGTGAGGGTGTTGAGGTGAGGGTGGTGAGGTGGTGAGGTGAGGGTGGTGAGGGTGTTGAGGTGAGGGTGGTGAGGGTGTTGAGGTGAGGGTGGTGAGGTGGTGAGGGTGGTGAGGTGAGGGTGGTGAGGGTGTTGAGGTGAGGGTGGTGAGGTGGTGAGGGTGTTGAGGTGAGGATGGTGAGGGTGGTGAGGGTGGTGAGGGGGTGGTGAGGGTGGTGAGGGTGGTGAGGGTGGTGAGGTGGTGAGGGTGGTGAGGTGAGGGTGGTGAGGGTGTTGAGGTGAGGGAGGTGAGGGGGTGGTGAGGTGAGGGTGGTGAGGTGAGGGTAGGGAGCGTGGTGAGGTTAGGGTGGTGAGGGTGGTGAGGTGAGGGTGGTGAGGTGAGGGTGGTGAGGTGAGGGTGGTGAGCGTGGTGAGGTTAGGGTGGTGAGGTGAGGGTGGTGAGCGTGGTGAGGTTAGGGTGGTGAGGTGAGGGTGGTGATCGTGAGGGTGGTGAGGTGAGGGTGGTGAGGGAGGTGAGGGAGGTGAGGGGGTGGTGAGGGTGGTGAGGTAAGGGTGGCGAGGTCAGGGTGGTGAGGGTGGTGAGGGTGGTGAGGTGAGGATGGTGAGGGTGGTGAGGTGAGGTGAGGGTGGAGAGGTGAGGGTGGTGAGGTGAGGGTGGTGAGAGTGGTGAGGTGAGGGTGGTGAGGTGAGGATGGTGAGGGTGGTGTGGTGAGGGTGGTGAGGTGAGGGTGGTGAGGGTGGTGAGGTGAGGGTGGTGAGGTGAGGGTGGTGAGAGTGGTGAGGTGAGGGTGGTGAGGGTGGTGAGGTGAGGGTGGTGAGGGTGGTGAGGTGAGGGTGGTGAGATGAGGGTGGTGATGGTGGTGTGGTGAGGGTGGTGAGGTGAGGGTGGTGAGGGTGGTGAGGTGAGGGTGGTGAGGTGAGGGTGGTGAGGGTGGTGAGGGTGGTGAGGTGAGGGTGGTGAGGTGGTGAGGGTGGTGAGGTGGGGGTGGTGAGGGAGGTGAGGGTGGTGAGGTGAGGGTGGTGAGGTGGTGAGGGTGGTGAGGGTGGTGAGGAGAGGGTGGTGAGGTGAGGGTGGTGAGGTGAGGGTGGTGAGAGAGGTGAGGGTCGTGAGGGTCACGGGCGAGGCGGGCGAAGCTCTCCCCGTGCAGCCATTCGCTGACTTCTTGGCTGGTCGGGTGACTCTTAGCAGAGTAGCAGCAGCTCGTGAGGGTGGCACGCACACACACACCGGCCGCCTTTGTCTCCCCCCCAGTGGCGATATTTACGCATCGAACAATGGTACTCATTTGAGGCTGAGTCGACCTAGGGAGATGTCCCAAGACCGGTTCAGATCATCGCTATCGCCGGGTTCGTAGCGAAGCGTGGCGCTAACCGCTGCGCCACCGCTCCCCCGCTCAAAGCACCTCTTGCTAATGTTTACAAAACAGCAGCGGGTCAACACATTTATGGCTGAGTCGACCTCCGTCAATTGATTGGGGTCCGTGAGCGGGAATTCAGTGCAGCGTCAACCACCGTGCCACCGCTCCACATGGATACACTCTACACACACACAGTGTACAACATTTACTGATTATATATAATACACATACATATATATGCAGCGATTACTGTTGCCTTGTGTGTTTACATAGCTGCGCCTTGACAAGTGGATCATAAACAGTGGGGCGTGTGCGTTGTGTGCGGAGTCTGTGCATGTGTCCTTGTGAATGCCCAATGATCTTCTTGATTCTTTCGGTAAAGTCACGTAGAAGGGAAATAATAATAAAAACAATAAAATACAATTCTCACGACGTTTTTGCCACAACGGAAGCAGCCGTCCTAAGGTGAAGAACAGGTCTGTCGGTCAGACGCTGTCTTTCCGACAGCCCTGTTCTTCACCTTTGATTATTTCCCTTCTACGTGACTTTACCGAAAGAACCAAGAAGATGAATACCTGCAGTCACGAAAGCTTTAAATCGAAAAATGCCCAATGAGTGCTCGAGAGACCAGGCTGACTGTCTGTGTCAAAGCGTTGGGTGTCTATGCAAGAGACCTGGGTGTCTGTGTGAGATACCTGGGTGTCTGTGAGAAGCCTGGCTGTCTATGTCAGAGCCCTGGGTGTCTATGTAAGTGCCATCTAATTCTACGTGAGTCTATGAAAACACATTATCTGGCAATGCTGCTGCTACTGCTGCGTCGTTGGTCGTGCACACGCACACAAAAATACATCTCAGCGTCGTCAATAACACTGCGGGCTCGAGATAGAAGAATTCTATAGGTGACATTTCGGCAAATGGGCCTTTTTCACAGCACATAAATAGGCCAGAGAGATGGAGCGCACAGGAGTTGGAGATTGCACTTCACATGGGATATATGGCTCCCCCATGTGAGTGGAAAGGTGATGTAAGGACACCTTACAATAATTCATTAATAAATGCACGGTTGCTGGGCAGCGGGTCATCGTCAGCGCAAATTGTGGTCGGTGGTTGATTGAGCACATCATTCTTCAGACAGCAAACACATTCCTGCGGAGGGAGCTGGTAGGAACGCTTGGGTTGCTCGGTCAATGGCCAGGGTCAACGGCGGCGTGGTGTATTCCGCAAATGTGCCCGACTGTGAGGGCGGGCACAAGCCGGCGTGAGTAGGTTAAACGTTGAGTTTTATAAGGGCACCACGGGGTGACCAGCCCCTCCCCACCCAGCACCAGCCCTCCCCACCCAGCCCCTCCCCATCCTCCCCTCCCCACCCAGCCCCTCCCCACCCTCCCCTCTCCACCCAGCCCCACCCCTCCCATTTTTGGATGCACGACGGACGGACACAATAATCCCCTGTGGGCTGGTGTAACCAGGAGGTTCCTACCGGTATAAACGAAGGGACAATTTTGTGGGAAAGTCCAAAGCGTTTCTTACAACACCTTTGGAAACCCTGGTCTGCCGTACACGTGTAGATGGGTGGAAATGTGTTTTTATCACTTGAGACTCTCCCCTGGGTTCAGTAGAGACACTCTTAGGGTGTTTCATGGCTGCTAACCATTATGATCCTACTGCCTTATAAATAACGCGATCTAACCCAACAACGTTTATTATGAGCATGATCATTGATTTAAAAAAACCCCCACACCTTCACCCTTCTTTCCACTCTCACGAATCCCACAGTGCGAGATGGAGAGTCAACCCACGATGGAGCTGCAACAGCAGGAGGACTTCCCGGCGTGGCTTGAGGCGCAGGGCGTGAACGAGGAGGTGGCCCGGGCCATGGACTCGGAGCTGGGCATCCGGGACTACGGGGTCTTGCGCGCCTGCGTCGGGGACGCGTGCCTCCGTGCCGAGCTCCTGTCCACGGCGCGCGACCGCCTGCCCTTCGGCTTCTACGCCGTGCTGCGGCAGGTGGTGAAGGCCCTGCAGGGCGCCGAGCCCCACGACGGCGCCGGGACACCGCTGTCCGGCGCGCTTCGCGACGTGACGCTGGCGGGGCTCGTGGAGGTGCTGCTTGCGCTGCTCACGGGCCTGAGCCGCGAGCTGGCGCTCTCCGTGCAGAAGCTGGAGGCGGTGAGCGGCGGCGGCGCCTTTGTCGGAAGGTTCCTCGCGAAGGACGAGGACTACCAGACGGAGAGGGACGATGACGATTCGCACCACGGTGAGGTTCGAGCGGCGCGTGAGGGAATCAACGGTGGCCCGTCGGATCTTCATCGGAAATATTTGCTTATGCTGAAGGAATCCGATGAGCGAAAAAGTAATTTTTTTTTTTTTTTACAGATGTCCAGTAGGGGCACGGGGGTTCAGAACAGTTTGTTTGTATCTTTGAAAGTTAGTAAGTCGAATGTTCGTACGTTGAGTAGTCTTTATCATTTCTAGATTTGAAGCTTTCGTGACTGCAAGGATTCATACTCTTACGTGACTTTACCGAAAAAACCTAATAGTCTTTATCACTCGCCGCTGATGCTAGCCGTGACCGAGCATCGGACCACTCGCACATATCCACAATCAAGTTCAAACTGCACACGGCGCGCGATTATCACGGTTTTGTGTTTCTCATGTCCCCGTGTTTAATACGAATGGTAATGTAGGACGTTTGCCGCTCACGCCATTCCAGTGGTGCGATATCATCACGAAGGAAGGTGCCGTGTTTCACAGACGGTTATAGTCTGATTCTAGATTTGAAGCTTTCGTGACTGCAAGGATTCATATTCTTAGGTTTTTTCGGTAAAGTCACGTAGGTAAAACATTAAAATTAATAAAAGTAAAATAAAATATAAAAAAAAATCACGACGTTTCGGAGGCAACACAAGCTTCCGTCTTCAGGTGGAACCGTCACAGCCACGACAGCTGTATCAAGTAAATGAGAGATTGCAGGAGCTACCACTCCGTTTAAATAATGGTTGGAGAGGGGGGAAGGGCCAAGTACAGCACACTTTTTATTCATATGGTAAGGTGAGGCTTAAGAGGGTGATCCTTTGTTATGGAGAGGTACGGTTTGTGACTCAACCTGTGACAAGGAGAAAACAACTGAACATGGTAAACCTGTAATAGTTGTCTGTCAAATAAGATTGGCCAAATAAGTGTAGTTAAATGTTTTTTGCATGGTTAATCACATCTTTCCAATGATTACTCAGTTTGTAACCATCATCACGGTTGAAATTATGTCTGTGTTTGTATATTTGTATGGCTTCGTGTACAAACCTTTGATGGTAGCCAGTCTGCCCCGTAGCGGGGCGATGCTCAATCCCTCCCTCGCTTCTCATCGTCCAGGCAACGCCGGCGACTTCTCCAACGACGACGCCGAGAGTCCAGTCCCCGAGGAGGAGGAGGAGTGCGAGTGGCGGCAGCACAGCGACAGCAGCCCAGGTGAGAGCCCAGCCCAGGTGAGAGCCCAGCCCAGGTGAGAGCCCAGCCTAGGTGAGAGGCCAGGTGAGAGGCCAGGTGAGAGGCCAGGTGAGAGGCCAGGTGAGAGGCCAGGTGAGAGCCCAGCCTAGGTGAGATCGCAGGTGAGAACTCAGTCCAGGTGCTAGCCTAGGTGAGAACCCAGCCCAGGTGAGAGCCCAGGTGAGAGCCCACCTCAGGTGCTAGGCTAGGTGAGAGCCCAGCTCAGGTAAGAGCCTAGGTGAGAACCCAGCCCAGGTGAGAGCCCAAGTGAGAGCCCACCTCAGGTGAGAGCCCAGCCCAGGTGAGAGCCCTGCTCAGGTGAGATCGCAGGTGAGAGCCCAGCCCAGGTGAGATCCCAGGTGAGAACTCGGTCCTGGTGATAACCTCTGATTAACAGAGTTGGCTACGTATGGTGTGAAAAAGGTTTAACATACATACTGAACCCAACGCCGATGAGAGCCCAGCCCAGATGAGAGCCCAGCCTCGTTGAAAAACCTGCCCAGGTGAAAACACAGCCCAGGTAAGAGCCCAGCCCAAGTCAGAGCCCAGCCCAGGTGAGAACCCAGCCCAGGTGAGAGCCCAGCCCAGGTCAGAGCCCAGCCCAGGTGAGAACCCAGCCCAGGTGAGAGCCCAGCCCAGGTGAGAGCCTAGCCCAGGTGAAAACCCAGCCCAGGTCAAAGCCCAGCCCAGGTGAAAACCCAGCCCAAGTGGGAACCTAACCCAGGTAAGAGCTCAGGTGAGAACCCAGGCTGGGTGACAGCCCAGCCTGGGTGAGAGCCCATTCTAGCTGAGAAACCCACCCTGGTGAACACCCAGCCCAGGTAAATTGTGTATCACGGAGCGAGCAGAACTGAGCACAAACAAGACAAAGAGCTGCACAAACCAGACATGAACAAAGCAAAATGATCGTCTAAAATTAAATCGCGACCATCGAATCATGGAGAGGTGAATCGTTACACACGGTGACCTCTAACCCGAGGTGACCTCCGCCCCCCTCCGCTCCTCCTCGCTGACCAGGGAAGAGCCTGGAGACCCTGTCTGGCTTCGTGCTCCCGGACGGCAGTACCCTGGAGTGCGCGCGGCAGTACTACGCCGCCTCCTCCGCCGCCGCCGCCGCCGCCAAGGAGCGCAGCGCCGCCTACGGGGCCGCCCTGCAGCTGCAGCAGCTGCAGCAGCTGCAGCAGCAGCAGCTGCAACCGCATCAACAGCCGCAGCAGAGTCAGCAGCAGCAGCACAGCGTGGACGAGATGATCGCGGCCGCAGTTGCCGCCACCGCTGCCGCCGATCCCCACCACCTCCAACACCACCAACAGCAGCAGCAGCAGCAGCAGGTGGAGGAGGCGGCCGCCGCCGCCGCCGTGGCGTCGATCAGCAGCAAAGGGCGGCCGCGCACCAACCGCCCCGACGCGCTGGCGCCGAGGCGGCAGCAGTACGAGTGCCGGCAGTGCGGGCGCGAGTTTGTGCGCTCGGACGCGCTCAAAGCGCACATGCGCATCCACACGGGCGAGAAGCCGTACCGCTGCGGAGCCTGCGGCCGCGCCTTCTCGCAGAGCTCCGGGCTCAAGACGCACCAGCGGGTGCACACGGGAGAGAAGCCGTACCGCTGCGGCGTGTGCGGGCGCGTGTTCGCGCAGTGCTCGGGCCTTCAAGTACCACATGCGCACGCACACGGGGGAGAAGCCCTACGTGTGCCAGGGCTGCGGCAAGAGCTTCGGCATATCGAGCCACTGCAACAGGCACCGCAAGATGTGCCTGCTCGCCAACGCGAGGCCGGTTCACGACGAGCGGTGACGGGTCCGTCTCCCGATGGGTCTCTTTACGCGCGGTGATCATTGGGAGTCGCTCCTGAATTAGTCGGGTTTGCCGGCAGTGCAGCGTGACGCTGAGACTAATTCCCTCCCCTCACCCCCTCCCTCCGCCGCCCCCTTTTTCCACTGACACATCTGAGCCGAGCCAGCGCCGGGTGACTGGCAACACGGGGTGGTTTTCCCAACTGCGAGCTGGAACCAAACCGTGCTACGTTGGCCTCGCAAGAAGTCTGTATCTTGCTCGAGGGCCAAGCTCCGTGCCCGGGGCGGAAGTAAGAACACGTTCGCAAATTGAATGTGATTCATACAAAAATCGCTATGGACTTTGTTCCATTCGCGAGTGTTGCAGTCCCACGAGCCGGTGCTCGTTTTACTGACCCCCGAAGGGACGATCACGGTGATGACGACGAAGATGATGACGACGTTGGTGACGACGATGAGGGTGAGCCGACCCTTGCCGCAGGATCTCAACTCGCAACCTTGAGGTCTTGAGACTGCTGCTCCGTACAAATGGAACCGTGTCGATGTATGCATCCTGTACGTGTGCGTGCTAAACGAAACTATTTTGTATCTTATCAGTTAAGGCCCACTGAGCTATTTTTCAGAATCGACTTGGCCACAAATGATAGCTCAACGAACTCGTGACCTATTTGCCAGGCGAGGCAGATAGCATTTCTCCACCGGCACATACAGTCAGTCATGCATTGATGTAGCTATGGGTATGACTGGAGTTCCCGTGATGGTTTATGCTCCGTTGACGAGATCGGCAAGGCAGTTTACCATCTCGCAAAGCGATCTGATCGGAGGCGAGTGTGAACGTGGGTCATTTTCTACTCTTCCCAGAGGTGGTGTATTTATTTAACTGAGTGGGGGGGTGGGGGGAGACCTTAGGTCCCTGTTGGGAGTCAGGATGTGAAGACTACTATTTTTAAAGCATCCCGCGTAATCGGTCGCAATTTTAAGCCGATTGCTCAACGGAATCGTTGAATCGTCTCGGTTGTACATTGTGTTTTTTGCTGAGCGGTTACAAGGTGGGTAGTCTAGGCCATGGACAGGTGGCCGCTAATTTATAACAAGCATAAATGGGTCAGCATTTACGCTATTGGAACCTCATTTGCCAGTAAAAAATATGATAATTGTTTTTTTACCCTTTTATCTGCCAACGAAACTGACACCTTTTTTACAAGGAGTCGTGTTTGCACCTTTTGGCGTCATCTGGTCCAACACCATGTGAGGCTAGGCTCTGAGGAAAGCTGTCTCGGGTGTGGACCAATAAACTTCAAGGACAGTACATACATTATCGGAGTTATGTTTTTTGTTTGCATTATGACTGCAGGTATTGTGGTCTAAGCAAACATGACTCCTTGTAAAAAAGGTGTCAGTTTTGTTGCCAGATAGAATGGTAAAAAAACAATTATCATAAATGGGTTCATCGTTGATTATAGCATGAAGGTACCCAGTGGTATTAGTTTATGAAGGCAATGCTTGCTTATGAGTGTCACTGAAATTGAACAGATTCAAGGGCATCTGTGATAGTGCAGTCAGTGGCATTCGTTTGAGTTCAAACCTTGCTGATGGACTCTGTTATGGTAACATAACGAATCACGTGTTTGGCAGTTGCTGCGTTTTATGTGTGCAACAACAACAAAAAAATCATACCGATGTATTCGTAACTAAAATCGGGGAAAATTGCCAAGGCCATTTCGTTCAAGATATGAATCTGGCTCTTTAACAGCTCGCATCCTCGTATTTTTTTAAAATGTAAATGTTGGAAGTAAAACTTTCTAAACGAGAAGCGTTTGTTTTCAGAAGAATGGTCGGGCTACGTGGCTATGTCGTCGGTATGGTTAAACATTCTGCTTAGCCTCCAGTGTTTTTAAGTTACGTGTCTTTTTTGCAAAATAACACATTGCTGCGGAGGGAGCTGGTAGGAACGTTGGGTTGCTCGGTCAATGGCCAGGGTCAACGGCGGCGTGGTGTATTCCGCAAATATGGCCGACTGTGAGGGCGGGCACAAGCCGGCGTGAGTAGGTTAAACGTTTAAGGGCACCACGGGGTGACCAGCCCCTCCCCACCCAGCCCCACCCCTCCCACCCCCCACCCAGCCCCACCCTCCCCTCCCCACCCAGCCCCTCCCTACCCAGCCCCTCCCCACCCTCCCCTCTCCACCCAGCCCGACCCCTCCCATTTTTGGATGCACGACGGACGGACGGACACAATAATCCCCTGTGGGCTGGTGTAACCAGGAGGTTCCTACCAGTAAAAATTGTTTACTATTGCTTGTACAACACGAAGTGAATTACATGGGTGCAACTCATGAACGACCGATGTCGACTCAACTTGATCTTCATTTTGATTTAAAGCTTTCGTGACTGCAGGGATTCACATTATTGGTAACAATAAAATAAAAATATAAAACAAGAAAAATGTTCACGACGTTTCGTTTGCAACACAAGCAATCATCAGGTGTGAAACCCACAGCAAGAAAATTTGAAAAAAAAGTGCCGGTTTTTTGTTAGTTTAATTTTTAAAACACCACTTTTTTTTACACAAGCAATCATCATCAGGTGTGAAAACCACGGAAAAAAGTGGCGTTTTTTTTCTTAAACTAAACTAAGAAAAAACGCCGCTTTTTTTTCTTCAAATGTTCTTGCCGTGGTTTTCACACCTGGTGATGATTGCTTGTGTTGCAATCGAAACGTCGTGAAAATTTGTATTGTTTTATATTTTTATTATTTTATTGTTTCCCTTCTACGTGACTTTACCGAAAGAAATCGTAAAAATAGCAATGGTTTTGCTTCTTTTGTTAGAAGGTCGACTTGTGTTTTGTTTTGGTTCGACTTCAGACTGACAGCTGTATTGATGGATTGCATGCTGTTACCCAGCGATGTGCATATATGTGTGTGTGTGTGGTCACCCATTCACCTGCATTGTGAAGTCTCCTGTTCAGATGTAAATGGCAATACTAAATAAACATGACGACGGCGGTGGTGGTGGTGGTGATGATGTTGGTTGTGTTGGCGAAAATATTGAAGAGCCATACATTATACCGAGAAAAAATATTTCTTAAAATCCACGCTTCAAAGTCGCGTCACCAACTCTGGGGCCGTCCATAAATGACGTCACGCACCTAGGGGGGGGGGGGTTTGAGAAATGTGACGTCACATCAAAATGCGCAACTTTAAATAAATATAGACAACACGTTCTACTTAATTAAATAGACTTCTTAATAAATGTTTTCTCCTACAACATCAGAGTACAGCGCCACATTAAATACGCACTACAATGACAATAGTTTTAAAGCGATTTGAAGCATATTCTTGATTCTTTCGGTAAAGTCACGTAGAAGGGAAATAATAAAAAAATAAAACAATTAAATTCTCACGACAGCTGTGGTTTCCACACCTGATGATGATTGCTTGTGTTGCAATCGAAACGTCGTGAGAATTTTATAGATTTATTTGTATTATTTAATTATTTCCCTTCTACGTGACTTAACCGAAAGAACCAAGAATATGAATCCCTGCAGTCACGAAAGCTTTAAATCGATTTGAAGCATGTTTTTTTTGGGGGGGGGGGAGCTTTGTGACATCAAATTTTAGGGGGGGGTCTGACTTTTTGTGACGCCGTGTGACGAAGGGGTGGGGGGCGGTCAAAAAAAATTGTCCAAAATCGCGTGACGTCATTTATGGACGGACCCCTAAGTTTCAAGTTCCATTTGGTTAACACCATTCGAGAAGTCAAGAGGCCAGGATAGGAGATGACGCCATCTGGTCGAACACTGCATGAGACTAGGCTCTAAGGAAAGCTGTCTCTGGTGTGGACCAATCAGTTTCAAGGACAATGCATACATTATCAGATTGATGTTTTTTTGCATTCTGTATTATGGAGATGGCAGAGCAACCACGACAATTTCACATTCTGGTGGTCAGACCAGGCAACCGCGTTCGGAGCAGCAGCAGCAGCAGTTGACTCCTTCGTATCGGTGTGGATCGGAGCATCGGCGGTCCCGTTACACGTGGTACGATCTGTTCTGGATGACCACATTGGGACGCTGCTGGAGAGGTTTGTTTTACTGGTAGGAACCTCTGGTGACACCAGCCCACAGGGGATTATTCTGTCCGTCCGTCCGTCTTGCAGGGAGGGGCTGGGTGGGGAGGGGCTGGGTGGGGAGGGTGGGGCTGGGTGGGGGGTGGGGGTTGGGAGGGGCTGTGTGGGAGGGGCTGGATGGGGGGTGGGAGGGGTTGGGTGGGGCTGGTGGGGAGGGGCTGGGAGGGTAGGGTGGGGAGGGGCTGGGAGGGGAGGGTGGGGAGGGGCTGGGTGGGGAGGGGCTGGGTCGAGGGTGGGAGGGTTGGGGCTGGGTGGGGAGGGGCTGAGTGGGGAGGGGCTGGTCACCCCGTGGTGCCCTGATAAAACTCAACGTTTAACCTACTCACGCCGGCTTGTGCCCGCCCTCACAGTCGGGCATATTTGCGGAATACACCACGCCGCCGTTGACCCTGCAGGCCATTGACCGAGCAACCCAACGTTCCTACCAGCTCCCTCCGCAGGAAAGTGTTAATATTTGTAATTTTCCACTGACCCAGCGTGGTGAAGTATGGTCATTTAACCCACCGTTGTCAATCCAGCAGTGGGTTTTCGAAGGATCGTGGAATTATTACGGTGCGGTCGCTCGAATCTGTTTCAACTGCCCCCATGATTACATTATGACCCCTTTCTCCGATTCGAGATCTGACATTGATGACACACACACCCCCCCCCCCCCCCTTGCTGTCTCTGCGTTACATTTCAAATCACGAACGGAGATCATCATCATGACCCCCAAAGAGGAATTTCCGTCTCTCCGATAATCGCAAAGGGGCCGTCCATAAATGACGTCACGCGATTTTGGGCGATTTTTTACATCCCCCCCCCCCCCCCCCCCATCGTCACACGGCGTCACAAAAAGTCAGACCCCACTAGATTTGAAGCTTTCGTGACTGCAAGGATTCATATTCTTAGGTGTTTTCGGTAAGAATATCAGACCCCCCTCTCAAATATGACGTCACAAAGCTCTGCCCCCCCCCCCATAAAAGAATAAGGGGCCGTCCATAAATGACGTCACGCGATTTTGGACGATTTTTGACCCCACCCCCCCAGCGTAATTAAAAGTCAGACCCCCCCCCCCTGAAATATGACGTCACAAAGCTCTGCCCCCCCCCCCCAAAAATATAAAACATGCTTCAAATCGCTTTCAACTATTGTCATTGTAGTGCGTATTTAGCGTGGCGCTGCACTCTGATGTTGTAGGGGAAAACATTTATCAAAAAGTCTATTTAATTAAGTAGAACGTGTTGTCTGTATTTATTTAAAGTTACGCATTTTGATGTGACGTCACATTTCCCAAACACCCCCCCCCCTCCCCCATCGTCACACATCGTCACAAATGTCTGACCCCCCCCCCCCCCCTAGGTGCGTGACGTCATTTATGGACGTGCTCCCCCCTCCCCCCCAAGTGCAACAACACGGGGGGCTGACGGCGCAAATCGCCGCGGTCCCCCAGCCTCGCGCACGGCGGAATCGGCGGCCGGGGAAACGCGAAGCTGCGTCCGCGACGCGTGGAGATCAACACGCGGACGACGACGAGTTGACGAGGAGTTGACGAGGTTAATGAGGTTCATGGGGAGTTCATGGGGAGTTGAGGAGGTTAATAAGGTTCATGGGGAGTTGATTAGGTTCATGGGGAGTTGAGGTTCATGGGGAGTTGACGAGGTTAATGGGGAGTTGATGAGGTTCATGGGGAGTTCATGGGGAGTTGATGAGGTTCATGGGGAGTTCATGGGGAGTTGAGGTTCATGGGGAGTTGACGAGGTTAATGGGGAGTTGATGAGGTTCATGGGGAGTTCATGGGGAGTTGATGAGGTTCATGGGGAGTTGATGAGGTTCATGGAGTTAACGTGGAGTTGACGAGGTTAACGAGGTTTATGGGGAGTTGATGAGGTTAATGGGGAGTTGAGGTTAATGAGGTTCATGGGGAGTTGACGAGGTTAATGGGGTTAACGTGGAGTTGACGAGGTTAATGAGGTTCATGGAGAATTGATGAGGTTAACGGGGAGTTGACGAGGTTAATGAGGTTAACGGGGAGTTGACGAGGTTAATAAGGTTCATGGGGAGTTGACGAGGTTAATGGGGTTAACGGGGAGTTGACGAGGTTAATGAGGTTCATGGAGAGTTGATGAGGTTAACGGGGAGTTGACGAGGTTAATGAGGTTAACGGGGAGTTGACGAGGTTAATGAGGTTAACGGGGAGTTGACGAGGTTAACGAGGTTAACGGGGAGTTGACGAGGTTAATGAGGTTCATGGGGAGTTGACGAGGCTCAAAAACATCATTCCGCTTTGTAAATCTGGCGCACTACTCACGCGAATTAGGTGGAATTGCTTTCGCCGCATATCTGCCCGGAGTTCTACAACAAGTGCTGATGTGACCTCTTCCAGGAATTTGGGTTCTAGATGTTGTTCTACGCTGCAGTGCGGTGGCCACATTGTCTCACCGTGAATTTAAAGCCTCTTTTTAAAATCCTTTATATTAAGTTCGCTTGCGTGCTTGCTTGCTTGCTTACGACCGTGCAAATCTTTCGGTCGTTTTTTAACCCACTTCCCGTGATCCAATCGAGCTAACATTTTGCACACAGACTCGTTGTGCGAGACAATTAATGTTCGTGAAAATTGTTTCCCCAAAATTTTACACTGTTTAGGGAAAATAAATTAAATATTTAATTACCAATTGCTTAATACTGGCAGACAATCATCTGACCCATAGGTGGCAGCCATCTCAAGCCAGAGGACGGGAGGACTCTAGCCGCCACGCATATAAAGGATTTATAGTGAAAAACTTTGTTTTTACGGGTTATACTTATTTTTCTTTCCTCTTCTCATTGACGAAGCTTCAAATTCACGTCGAGGCAACCATCCCAAGATATTTTATCTACCGACAGAGGTGGTTGCTGGCGAAAGTTGTCGAGACATTTTTTTAACTCTCATTGCCCTGATGCCTATAGCAAAAAATAGAACACACAGCAACTGGTTAAGTAAAAAAAAGGCTAATTGCAAAACAAATAACTTAAAAATGAAAAAAATGAACGGCTGTTCGTTTTTGCGGTTGAATCTTTGAGTTGTGTCCACCAGCTGTGTAGTGTAAGCAAGCAATTGTAGCGCTTGCAGTTTACCTTAACTTGAACTTCTGTCGCACCGCATGTATCCAATTGTGCTAATCAGAGGTGCGGGAGGACAAACTGAACACAAAGCGCAGCTCACCTTGAAGTGAAATAACCCTGAGAAGCCTGAAATTAAGCAATTCAATCTCCCGTGTTCCCGTCATCCAGTCGACAACGATGGCGTGTGCGGTGTCCGCTGTCCCTCCTGCCACCACTCACCCTGCCCTGGAGCCGAGCGGAGACTTCCCGGCGTGGCTGGAGGCGCAGGGTGTGAACGCGGAGGTGGCCCGGGCCATGGACTCGGAGCTGGGCATCCGGGACTACGGGGTCCTGCGCGCCTGTGTCGGGGACGGCCTCGTGCGGGCCGAGCTGCTTACCGCGGCGCGCGACCGCCTGCCCTTCGGTTTCTACGCCGTGCTGCGGCAGGTGGTGAAGGCCCTGCGGGGCGCCGAGCCCCACGACGGCGCTGGGACGCCGCGCTGGGACGACGCCGCCGCCGCCGCCAGCAACGCCTCCTCCTCTCCTGGAGACGTGACGCGGGGAGGCCTGGTGGACATGCTGCTCGCGCTGTTGAGTGGCTTGAGCCGGGAGCTGCTGCTGTTCGTGCGGAGGTTGGGAACTGTGGAAGGAGTGGGATACGTGGAGGATTTTGTGACGGATGATGGGGGTCACCATCCGGCCGAAGAGGATCAGCACAACAGCCACTGTGAGTTTGTTTTTTTTTATTTTAGAGGGGAGGAGGTGTGACCGGGTTAGCTCAAAGATGGGAGCGCTGAGACACTGCTGAGATTTGGCATTGGAATCCAAGATTTGGCCATCTGTGATTAAATCACATGGGTTGGACCAGATGACGCCAAAAGGCGCCTTTTGGCGTCATCTGGTCCAACACCATGTGAGACTAGGCTCTAAGAAAAGCTGTCTCGGGTGTGGACCAATCAACTTCAAGGACAGTGCACATTATCAGAGTTATGTTTTTTGTTTGCATTATGACTGCAGGTATTGTGGTCTATGTAAACATGACTCCTTGTAAAAAAGGTGTCAGTTTTGTTGCCAGATAGAAGGGTAAAAAACCAACTATCAGTTCAGGGTTAGTTTTATCTATGGGACCCTTTTTTTGTTGTGTAATAGGCGTCTATTTGGTGGTTGAACATCTCAATAGCTGTATTCATGCCAGATAGGGCAAAGCCTTTTTTTATATATATTACTAGCTTTGCTACCCGGCTTCGCCCGAGACTTGGATTCTTGTCTTGGAGTAACACACGGCCTACGCGGAGGGTGGGGGGAGGGGTGCGTGACGTCAGCAGGCACACTGCGTGACGCTGCCGCATGCGGGTGACATCACAGATGTGACGTCACCGCTCACGGTGCAAAATACAATAATATATCCATTATTGCGCCCCCCCCCCCGAAAAAAAATACGAAAGTCATTTGTTTTCTTTTTTGCATTGTGTACAGTCTGGAAACTACCCACATGCAAAATTTCAAGTTTGTTGCATGTCGGGAAGTATGCAAAACATTTCGACACACATTCACAAATTTCCCTTTTATATATATAGATTCAATACAAGTTTGCTTATATAAATAAAATACATGTTGTTTGGAGATAACTCTAAAACACAGCAGTATGTGTATCCACCCATACACATCTAGGGTAGATGTTGACAGCAGACAAGGTTCTAATTTACGGGCGAACGGAAGCAGCGTGGAGCTCTTTCTGAGAAAACTGAATTGGATCATGAACGGTAAGCGTGCCGGCGTGCCCAAAGAAGACGGTTGCGGTCTGTGTGTCCGTGCGCGCTCCCAGCTGTGACTTACGGACCCGAAACGCGCAAACGCCGACAAATTAAATGGATCAAGAGTTGAGAAGCACGCAAACAAGAGCGAGGAGAATTTCACGCTTCGAATACGCCGAGGGACTTGGAAGGGAGGGGGGGCCGAGTGGATCGTGGAACGATTGCAAATCAACGACCGTGTTTGTTGAATGTTGCGAGAAGCGAGAGTGGGCTCAAGCCAGCGGACCGTTGCCAGAAGGGGTGATGGCCATGGGTTATGAGTGGTGATGAAATAGCAGCCAAGGTACAGACGAAACGATGAAATCAGTTCGTGCGCAGTCGATGGTTTGTAGCATCCCAATGGCGTAGGGAAGACTTAATCCACCAATGGATAGTTCATGGCTGAAGATGTGATCACCAATAGATCGTGAGGTTGGCACTCTTAACCATACCGTCAGCCAGCCGGATATTATTGGTTATTCTACTTCCAATTTAGTGCTAAATGTGTGGCAGACCACCGTAGCCTGTACTTATGACGCGTGCCCGGTCTGTGTGCCTCTCAGGTACCTTGGGTGAATTTACCGATGCTGAGGAACCGTGGACCCCGGTACAAGGAGCTGAGGGTCCGGACAGCCAGGAGCCCGCAGGTGAGTGTGGCCGGACGCTGGGCCAGTGTGGGCGATGGGCATGGGTGGGAGGAGTTGATTGAACATAAGTATAACCCGTAAAAACAAAGTTTTTCACTCTAAATCCTTTATATGCGTGGCGGCTAGAGTCCTCTCGTCCTCTGGCTTGAGATGGCTGCCACCTATGGGTCAGATGATTGCCTGCCACCATTAAGCAATTGGTAATTAAATATAAAAAAAAATTCCTAAAAAGTGTAAAGTTATGGAAAAGAATTTTCACGAAAATAAATTGTCACGCACAACGAGTCTGTGTGCAAAATGTCAACTCGATTGGATCACGGGAAGTGGGTTAAAAAACGACCAAAAGGTTTGCACGGTCGTAAGCAAGCAAGCACGCAAGCACGCAAGCACGCAAGCAAGCAAGCAAGCGAACTTAATATAAAGGATTTTAAAACTATCACTTTGGCAAAAAAAAACATTACCAAGCTGCAGCGTGTACAAAGTCCTTTGGCACGTGTCGTGACGGGTACTGCAAGATCGTGTCCGTCCAGTGCTCGCCGAGCTGGATTGGCTTCTTGCTGCCGAGCAAATACATTGTGAGGTCGCACTCATTACGCGCAAAGTGCTTACCACAAATTAACCACAATATCTTGCTGATTTAATCGAGGAGCACGCAAACTCCGGTCGTCCTCGCAGCAGCGGCTTTTGGCTAGCCATTGAACCAGGACGGTGGTGACCGGATCATGCGCTTTCATATGCGCTGGTTTTGCGGCCGTCTGGAATGCTCTTCCTTCCGACACAGGCATCGGCAACATTGACGTGCCGACGTGCAATGTAGTATCTGCTATGACTTACGTACGCTACCTATAAACCTTAAGGGAGCGTCCTCTCTCGTGCAGAACCTCTGCGAGGCCACTCCGAATTCTTCATCGAAGACGGCGCCCTGCAGCCCAAAGTCGCCATTAAGATCGAAGAACTCTCCGAGGATTCCACCACCGCCGCCACCGCCGCCGCCACCATCCCCGCCACCGCCGCGGTAATTGACGACACGAAAGCCGCCGTTCGATGCCGCGCTGAGCCACAAGACTGGCACGAGTCGACCCTCCCGGTGAAATGCTCACCGGATTGCTCACCGGGACGAGGGCTCCCGCCGACAGCGGCGACTGTCGCGACAGCCCGGCGGCGGCGGCGGCGGCGGGCGTGGCCGTCGGTGGCGGTCACCGCGGCGGCAGCGGCAGGCGTCGCGCCCTCGGCAGCAGCGACGGCGGCAACGGCGGTGCGTGAGCGCCCCTTCCGTTGCGACGTGTGCAGCCGCGCTTTCGCGGAGTACTCCAACTACCGGCGGCACACCCGTACGCACACGGGCGAACGACCCTACCGGTGCGAGGCGTGCGGCCGCGCCTTCTCCAAGCGCAGCAACATGAAGAGGCACCAGCGCAGCCACAAAGGCGAGAAGCCGTTCGGCTGCGACGTGTGTGCCCAAGGATTCACGCGACTCTGCAACCTCAAGGTGCACCTGCTGAAGCACGCCGGGGAGGGGGTGCGCAGCGTTCCGGGGAAGCGAATAGCCCGGTCCACTGCGATGGCGGATGGGAGATTCAGAACTCTCTTTTGCTACCGCGTAGGTTTTTAAGCGGTTGCATGGCGGGGCTCTCTCGCTGCGTTTTCGGGGGTCGTCCCTCCAGCGCGTGTCGATTTATATTTGCGAGAGAAACTCTCGGCGCGTGGAGCGAAACGGCAGACCGTCATGCCGAACGATAGTGATACAACCTGAAAACGTATCGGAGAACTAACGCCTCTTGTAAAAAAAAAAATTTTTTGTCTTGTTTCCCCAAATTTATTCGTCGAGCGGGGTGCCACTGTTCATGTTAGATAATGGCCCGTGGAAGCGGATATATTGTACAACTACTCCTGAGATGTCTTCAAATGACCTCTGGATTACACAGTGTGGGGGGCATCACTTTCTCACCCGGTTAATACTGGTAAGAACCTCCTGGTTACACCAGCCCACAGGGATTATTGCTTCCGTCCGTCGTTCAGGGAGGGCTGGGTGGGGAGGGAGGGGCTGGGTGGGAGAGGGGGGAGGGGCTGGCTGGGGAGGGTGGGGCTGGGGTGGGTGGGGAGGGGCTGGTCACCCCCGTGGTGCCCTTATAAAACTCAACGTTTTACCCTACTCATGCCGGCTTGTGCCCGTCCTCACAGTCGGCCATATTTGCAGAATACACCACCCTGGCCATTGACCGAGCAACCCGACGTTCCTACCAGCTCCCTCCGCAGGAATGTGTTAACAGTTGGCTGCCTGCATTTGAAGCTCGCATCTCAGCGATGCAAGCTCAGCAATCTGACTTGTGAAGCCACCCGTCCACCTCATGATGCACGGTTCTGCTTGGGTGAATCAGGGAGCTAATCGTAGGCACACAATCAGGCATCTATTGTCACACTCACCATACATACGTCGAACCTTGCGTGTGAGAGTCAATCATTTGCGATTCATGCAAGTGTTACGCGAAAGGTACACTTACATCACGTTAGGCTATAATGGCAAGAAAAACGGCAAAGTGAGAGAGAAAAACATCTAGATGTTAAAAACGAGGCAAAGAAATTCCATAATTCTGGAAATGATTTAAACCCCCGATTTGGGATAATTTATCGAATAGCTGGGGTTGCGTTTGAGAGCGTGGAATTATTACATGGCTAGATAATATCTTTTAGCGAACCATCAAACAAAGATGGTCGCTGCATCGCGCGCTTTCAGATGCGCTTCTGCGGCCGTCTGGAAAGCTCTTCCGGTATTAGGAAGCCACTGGGTGCTATGCACTTTTAAATCATTGAGATTGAAAACTAATTTCTTTAGAGCTGCCGTTTGTGTTTGGTTTGTTGTCCTTCCCCTGAACGTCCGATTAGCGCAGTTGGCTACGTACGGTGCGAAAGAAGTTGAACATATACACGAGGGTGATGGTTAAGGGAAATTCTACTGGAACATTATAGAATTAAAAGGTTAATCGTATTCAGGGCATTGCGGATGTAGAATTCAGGATTCATCGTTTTGCTTTATATATTTTACATTTTTCGCAGAATTTGCCAATTTTTTTATTGCATTTTTATCCAGAACCCCTAGTTTGATTGCCATTTTTACAAAACTTTCAGAATCAGAATATTTATTTACTTGGTATGTTCGGATGTCAAACATAAATTCAGGAGGCTTACGATATACACCACGTTGTGGCCTCGTGGAGATGTGTTTATATTTAATTTAGAATTCTTCCGTTCCCTCATTAAATACTTGTTTACGTATGCATGATGTGTGTGTGTGTGCTTTTGTTTATGCAATTTCATAAATGCTAACGACGGTAAATGGTTCCACGAAACCAGTCGCTAAGAGATTTGGTCGTTAAAGCGAATATAGGAAATTCACGTTAAAGGCTTAATTCGTGGCATCCAAAGTTCCCCTTTTTCATCCAAAAAACGTACTTTGTAATATTTAAACAATATATATTAATAGATAAAGATACATTATAAACATATATTTTTTTAAACATGGGTTAATTGATGCATTCATATTTACTGTACCTACAACAGGGGAATGGTCGGTAAGACGGACACATTGGGCTCTATGGAGGGCCGTCGTTAAGCGATTAGTCGTTAACAGGGGTTATATTGTACAGTACTACACACTACACTAATACTACACTACATCATACACTGCAATATGCATTACTATACACTACACTATACATTACTGTACAGTACACTACTATATACTACACTATACACTGCACTATACATTACTAGATACAACACTAATATATACTACACTATACACTACACTACTATATAATACACTAAACTACACTATACACTAACATTTTGCTCTATGGAGGCTCGTCGTTAACAGGGGCTGGTCGTTAAGAGGGGTTATAATGTCCAGTACTATACACCACTACACATATACTACACAATACACTACATTACTATACACTACACATTGGCCTCTATGGAGTTTTTGTCGTTAAGGGAAAGAATTGTTAACAGGGGCTGGTCGTTAAGATGGGTTCTACTGTCCAGTACTATACACTACACTATATACTACACAATACACTATGTTATACTGGTAGGAACCACCTGGTTCCACCAGCCCACAGGGGATTATTGTGTCCGTCTGTTCGTCGTGCATCAAAAAATGGGAGAGGTGGGGTGGGTGGGGGGTGGGAGAGGTGGGGCTGGGTGGAGAGGGGAGGGGCTGGGTGGGGGGTAGGAGGGGGTGGGCTGGTGTGGGAGGGGCTGGGTGGGGCTGGGGGAGGGGCTGGTCACCCTATGGTGCCCTTATCAAACTCAACGTTTAACCTACTCACGCCGGCTTGTGCCCAGCCCTCACAGTCGGGGCATATTTGCGGAATACACCACGCCGCCGTGACCCTGGCCATTGACCGAGCAACTCAACGTTCCTACCAGCTCCCTCCGCAGGCGGAATGTGTTTTTTAGCAGCATCTATATCCATAAAACAATGGGATTTTTTTTTGGGGGGGGGGGGGGTTAGATCGTGTAGATATTTAAATGTGTCGTTAAACCCGCCACCACCCGACACAGTCAATTGTATAAGGTTCTTCACGTAATCATCTCCATATCTGGGTCCCGCTTACTGGAATGCCGCGCGATGACGTCATCCGACGCTTTCACCTTTTCGCGTGACGTCACATTACATTTCCGTCACCCGCGAGCCCTTTCAAAGCGCCGCGATGACGCCACCGCCGTGCGCGATGACGTCACACGACGTGGGGGGGGTGGGGCGCGCGCGACCGTTCCCGCAACGTCATCACGCAGCCGCTGTGCGTGATGACGTCACGACGGGATGGTGGGGGAGGCGCGCGACCGTTGTTCCCGCAACGTCATCACGCAGACGCCGTGCGCGATGACGTCACGGTGGGGGGGGAGGCGCGCGACCGTTGTTCCCGCAACGTAATCACGCAGAGCCGTGCGTGATGACGTCACGAGGGGTGGTGGGGGGGATGCGCGCGACCGCTGTTCCCGCAACGTCATCACGCAGACGCCGTGCGTGATGACGTCACGACGGGTGGTGGGGGGATGCGCGCGACCGCTGTTCCCGCAACGTCATCACGTAGACGCCGTGCGTGATGACGTCACGAAGGGGTGGTGGTGGGGATGCGCGCGACCGCTGTTCCCGCAACGTCATCACGCAGACGCCGTGCGTGATGACGTCACGAAGGGGTGGTGGGGGGGATGCGCGCGACCGCTGTTCCCGCAACGTCATCACGCAGACGCCGTGCGTGATGACGTCACGAAGGGGTGGGGGGGGGATGCGCGCGACCGCTGTTCCCGCAACGTCATCACGCAGACGCCGTGCGCGATGACGTCACGACGGGTGGTGGTGGGGATGCGCGCGACCGCTGTTCCCGCAACGTCACACGCAGACGCCGTGCGTGATGACGTCACGAAGGGGTGGTGGGGGGGATGCGCGCGACCGCTGTTCCCGCAACGTCATCACGTAGACGCCGTGCGTGATGACGTCACGAAGGGGGTGGTGGTGGGGATGCGCGCGACCGCTGTTCCCGCAACGTCATCACGCAGACGCCGTGCGCGATGACGTCACGAAGGGGTGGTGGGGGGGGGTAAGTGCGCGAATCAAAATTGAGCTACCGTTCAACATTGCACGGACAGACGAAAGTTTAATATGAAATTCCATTAAACAGTGCACACTGTTAAAGAATAAACGAACGGACCAAAGTTGATTCCATAATAATCGTAATACTAACAACATTATAACATCACGTCCGCGTGCGTGCGTGCGTGATGACGCAGGCACGCGCGGCTCTCGTGCGTGATGACGCAACGCGCGCGGCTCGCGTGCGTGCGTGATGACGCAGCCACGCGCGGCTCTCGTGCGTGATGACGCAACGCGCGCGGCTCGCGTGCGTGATGACGCAGACACGCGCGGCTCGCGTGCGTGCGTGATGACGCAACGCGCGCGCGGCCCGCGTGCGTGATGACGCAAGGCGTGCGTGATGACGTACGAGGGGGGGGGGAGTAGTTGTTGGGGGTGCCACAAGTGAACCTCCCATAAGGCCGCTAAGTTTAAAAAAGGAACCGGCAGAGACGCTGAGCAGCGGCGGTGGTTGTTGTGTCTGTGGGTTTGTGTGGAGTTGGTAGAGGTCAGACAAACAAACCTCCCTTCAACCAACTTCGTCGTCGTCGTTGTGTTGTGTGTTATTTTTAGGTGCCTCCCCAATTTTTTTTGGTTGATTTTCTTTGAATTTTCGTTGGAGAGTGAAGCCCAGCAATGGCCACGAAAGGAGTCGAGGTCGGCATGGTGGTCATGATCAATAGGAGCGACGGTGAGAGGGTGCGGTGGGTGGTTGGGGGGGGTTGTTGGTGGAGATTGTTGTTGTTGTTTGCGAGTAGGGTTTTTAAAAAGAGTGGTGGGCATCGATTTTAGTTTGGAACGTGGCGCCGCCTCCAGCAGAAAAACCAAAAAAAACGTGTTGGCAGACATGCAAAGACAAAGATCCCCGTGTAGCCTGTAACAGACTGCAGGGCAAGTGCTGTTAGCGAGTAGCAGCTATGAAGGCCGGCACTGTGGCACCACGAGGAGGGCGTGGGTGGCAAGCACCACCACCACGCCCGGCCGCCTTTGTCTCTGCCAGTTGGCGGTGTTTGCTACACCACCGCAGCAGGTACTCATTGAGGCCGAGTCGACCTAGGGGGGAGGCCTAGGACCCGGTGCTGTTGGCCGTGGGCTGGAGTCGAACTCTGGTGGCCGGGTTCGTAGCGCTAACAACTTCACTGCCGTGCCCCATACAGAGACGCGCATGGACACATCGTATGTTCCGTGTCAAAGTGAACATCTCCACATGTTACTTTGACATGGCACTGAGAGGCATTGGGAGTGGTATTCAGTCGCACGAGGAAGACCTCAATCCAGATGTTGATGATTAGACTTAGTACTTGGAAGTAAAAGAATGGGAATAGGTGATTTATTCTAGATTTGAAGTTTTCGTGGCCGCAACGATCAATACTCTTTGGTTCATTCGGTAAAGTCATAACAAGTTGCTGTGGTTGTCCCACCTGATGAAGGACGCTGTGTTGTGGCCGAAACGTCGTGGTTTAATTTTCTTTATTTTATACCTACCTGGCTTTATCGAAAGAACCAAAGAGTAACACAATTTTTGTTCCTGGGTACTAAATGTGACTTTTTTAATTGCCTATGCCTAAAGTTTAGAAAATGGCTATGCCACAAAACTGCTTTTGTGACCAGGGCTTTACGTGAACGAAAGCCACAATTCACAAGTTTTCTCATTGAAAATAGGTAAATTGAACCTTGTGGCGGTACCATGTCCTTGATGCAGTCATTTTAGTCTTTTCTTGGTTAATTTTTGTTGTATTCCGACCGCAGGTATTGTGGTAAATGCAAACATGACTCCTTGAAAAAAAGGTGTCAGTTTTGTTGGCAGATAAAAGGGTAAAAAACAATTCTCATTTTGCTACTGGCAAAGGAGGTTCCAATGGTGTTATTCTTGTTCTTTCGGGAAAGTCACGTAGTTAGAAAAGAAAAATGAAATATATATTTTACAAATAAGTTGAAAATAATCAAAGCAAAAAAACCTTAGAAGCAGTTGCATTTGAGGCTTGCCCCCCCCCCCCCGCTTGTGTTGCTATCGAAACGTCGTGGGTTTTTTGCTTTTATTATTTTCAATTTTAAAATTGAATAAAAAATATTTTTTATCTACGTGACTTTACGAAAGAATCGAAAATATGAATCCCTGCATTCACAAAGTTTAAAGTCAAAATTCATTCTTGGTTTGAAACTTCGTGACTGATGACGACCGCTTGTGTTGCGATCGAAAACGTCGTGATTGTTTAATTCAATTTCTAACTACGTGACTTTACCGAAAGAACCAAGAGTATAAAAATCATTTTTAAGTCTGTGTTGATGGTCAGCGATGCGGGCAATCGACATCTCGACGAGTGTGCACGATGCACTATTAAAAGTTGAATTTTCGACAACGGATTTTTTAATGCTAATGTTTGACGTTTTGACATCGCGGAGTGTGGCACTGATTTCGGATTGATTGGTACCCCAGTCACGGAAAAGTAATACCCCTGGGAAAATATATTGTCCCATAAATAAAAATAT